AACGTGTGGCGAAGTCGATGGTGTCACCAACTGAAAGAGCTGGAAAGAAGATCTCCTCTTCTGTGTTCATGATGATCTGACCACGATATTGCTTGGCTTCTTGACTGGTCATGGAACCGAACGAGACGTCGCCAGTAATTTCTGCGAAGCCATTTCTGTGGTTTGATAGAACGCTAAGCAGTGTTGTGCATCCGGCTCCTGGATTTCCAAGAACAAGCAACATCTCACCGGGTTTGACACATCCAAAAGAGTTGTCGATAATAGTCTTCAGGGGTGGGCTCTTACTGCCCTTCCCGAATGGGTTGAATTGAGAGAGAACATTTTCGTTGTAAAGCGCATCACTGCTGATGCCCTTTACTGTGAGATTCTGCCATGTCACACCCAGCTTCTTCGATTTCCCACCGTTAGTCTCGTTACGTTGTTGTATTTGTAGTATATCTGGAGTCATGGGCCATTGTGAGATGTCTCGGGGGTCGGTCTTTTGGCCGGATTCGTCGTTTGACTGCTCCGCGCTGCAGTTGACGATAGGGTCCGCCATTGGGGAGGGAGATCGTCCGGGGGCTTTCCGAGCAAACTCGCCGGGTACATCGCTTTCTCGGGGTCGCAATTGACCTCCATGTTGTAGTTCTTCGGATTCGCTAATTTGCCAGACTTTGACAGCAGAAGAACTTCGATGGAAAAAAATGCTGGAGATCAGACGACCGAGGTTGCCGGTCAGAGAGTAGCAACATCACGCACAAGATATAAGAACAATAATGAGATATATGACCATAACTTAGCTTCTGATTAATAATCCGACTCAAGGCCCGCAGCCCAAAGAAGCCTTCTGTCTCATCCCTTATTAATGTGCTGAACGAAGAGCATGGGACATCTTTTCGGCGGATAGGGTGTTTAGTAAACATCTCATGCATTAAGGTTTACAGTTCAGTTCAACCGTGTTTGTTGAATCATCAGGCATATCCGCTCGGATTGATTACTATACATTCCTAGCTCTAGTTAAGTTAACCAACCTCACTAACTCATTACGGACTAGATACAACGACTAGCGGAGCTTGATTGCTAGAGCCCCTTGCCCTATTTGGGCGGGTCTAACCTTATAAACTCTAACCCTGTAGATCTGCAGTTAGACCGACTAATTAATCACATTCATTGCGAGCTACGATGATCGAACGACTAGAATCAATTCAGTGCGTCAATGAATGAAAACCGACTGAACCCACTTATCCTCAATGGTCATACTCATCTTTCTTCCATGAGAATTTCTTTGTCTGATCCCAAGTTAAGATATTAACTACCCTGTCGGCTTGATTATTAACCTGCCACCGCCACTAACTACTACTCCCTTCGGGTCAGACATTGGACCTTTGCGTCGAAATGTTTAGATATATTTTCGGGTGGCGCAGCATTAAAGTTGATGTCATCAGTCAAAACCTTATCTTTTTGGTCCGCGGCTGCGTCTCCACTACTCATGACGTCCTGACTTTGCATGGCAAATTTGAGCGAGTGTGGGTTGCTGTAGTCAGCCCCAATGACAGTTAAGCCTTCAGGGAAAAAATGTCGGGAGAGAATGGTGACTAGAAATGGGAGAGCAGCGTAATTCTTGGTCGACAGTGGGCCCAAGATTTCCGCCTGGGCCAATCCCATGCAACTGTAGTAGAAACCTCCACTTTTCTCAACCGCTCTCTCTCGGTATGATGAATAAACAGGTAAAGACTGATTAACTTTCGACCCAACACCTGACTATTGATTCACAGTCGGAGCTTGAGGTTATCCCATCGACAATGATTTCTAATCACAGCGCAAAGACACTCAATTACGGGTGTAGAGAGGCATAAGTAGAACAGACGCCGTGCACCCAGTATCATTTACTTCCCTGTGCAGTCAATAGTTTCTGACACATTCTGTACTATTCCTAAAGTTTTACCCTGTTTATCACTGTCACACCAGAGCGAGCACCTCCAACTTCCCCCGACTCCATCACCACCCCATAGCCATGACGACTCCTACCAACATTGATCCCAAGGCGCATTTTGCCAAATATCAGGGCGACAAGTATGTTGAGGGCTGGGCCTCCCTCTGGGACAAAGGTGATAATCTGCCCTGGGATCGTGGCTTTCCCAACCCCGCGCTAGAAGACACCCTGGTCCAGCGAGCTGGCACCATTGGCGGGCCCATCACGCAGGACGGTGAGAGGAGGAAGGCCCTGGTGCCGGGCTGTGGACGTGGAGTCGACGTGCTCTTATTCGCGAGCTTTGGGTATGATGCCTATGGCCTGGAGTGCAGCGCCGCGGCTGTCGAAGCGTGCAAGAAGGAGGAGAAGGAGAACCATAGCCGGTACCGCGTGCGAGATGAGAAAGTTGGGAAAGGGAAGGTCACTTTCGTCCAGGGGGATTTCTTTGATGATACCTGGTTGAAGGAGATTGGAGTACCTCGAAATGGATTTGATGTCATTTATGATTACACGGTATGTATACTCAATGCCGCTGTCGGGCTCCATTCCGTCATTGCTATTATTTTCTCTCCACTTGTATTCTGCGTCCTACAGGGGACTTGCAAGATGCTTCACTCCGTCTTTAGAATTTTGTGGTGCCATTTCCGACCCAACCTGGATCCTTCTGGTCTTTCTGGAGTTTCCTTCTAACAACCATCTAGTTTTTCTGTGCTCTGAACCCAGAGCTCCGTCCTAAATGGGCTCTCCGACACACCGAGCTCCTTGCTCCCCCACCTGCAGGCAATCTGATCTGTCTGGAATCTCCTCGTCATAAGGACCCTTTGGCCCCGGCCCTCCATTTGCCTCACCCTCCGAGGCCTACATGGAGCATCTGAGCCACCCCGGTGAGAAGATCTCCTACAACGATAAGGGTCTTGTCGATGCGGACCCGTTGCGAGAGCCGAGCAAGTCGGGCCTGGAGAGAGTGGCGTACTGGCAGCCAGAGCGCACGCACACTGTGGGCAAGGATAAGAATGGGGTGATCCATGACAGAGTCTCTATTTGGCGTCGACGTGAGTAGAAAATGTGCCTGCGCATTTGCGTGACCCAAAAATGGAGAAAATGTAAATGGAAAATATAGGTGATTTTGGAGTCCGGCCCTGGATTTTAAAGGCCAAGCCCTAGGCGCTAAAGTGACAGTCGAAATGAAGGGCCGGGATGCAAAGGGCGCTTTTTTAAAGAAATTTCGCGGACATAGGGAATATATGCACTGGAAGGATTTCCTCAACTCCACAGCGGGATCCTACTTCTAATCGTCGCATCATGCAAAGAAAGCGGAGATTATATCTATTGTAGACAATTATTGTTATTATACATAATTCATGGTATTTCGTACACAGGGTTAAACGCCCAAGGATCATCAAAGAGTTGCAAGGCGAATGGCATTCTCAACATCGCGCTTTCGGAACGCGGGTCCGCGACCGAGACAGATAGAGCAAAGGGAAAGATCTACGACAAGGTCAGTAAATGCACGGACAAGAAGACACAAAGAACCATGGATCTCGGCATTACTCACATTTAATGAAGCTCGCTGCGTTGAGCTGCGGAGCTGAATTGAACCAGCGACCAGAGAGGGGCGAGCTCGGGTCCTGAATACAAATCCCTCGCTGCTGTAGCAGCCTTTGCACACCACTCGCATCCATCCACTCATCAGCACCCGATTCATTGACAATTTGCCACGTTCGAGAGGAAAGGGCGAGTCGTTCAGGCGAGTAGCTGTTCCTCCTTGAATTGAGAACTTTTGTCCTCAACTCGATCGTGTCTCCTATTTCGTCGTGCATGACAGCGACGAATCCGGAGATCAAGCAGTTGCGCTCATCGATGGCCAAGCGTTTGCCGAAGATTGCTTTAACCCTTGGATCGTCTCCAGATAAGCTTGTTAATAGATAGTATCCAGTCACGCAGCATTGTCGGACCAGAAGGTGTGAGAGTGTCCAGCACCCTTGCTTTAAGAGATTGTCGGGCGATACTATGGTCGGGGAATTCAAGGCGGGACTAGGGATGGATGAGAAGGGGATATTCGGAGACGACAAGGCTATTCCGAACGGTAGAATTGCTTGTTCTTGGAAGGGTGGCGTGGGGGTAGTTGTGATAGTCCTGGCCATGGAGCCGCGAGGTCCGACGAGGACTGGAAAGCATCGCCGATTCTTGGCAATGAATCAAGTTGCGTTACGAGCGGATTGTAAGTTGAGATTATATCTTGTGTATCGCTGAGCGTGGGAGACGTCGATGGCAATACGTCCGCCAGGGCTACAGGTGCTTGTTCGGCCTCGTCGGAGCCCCTTTTAGCAAGCGACACGTATTGCTGTGTAATTTTTTGCAGAGCAGCTGTGACACGAGGCTGATTTTGGAGAATCCCAGCCTCGAACAGAAGATTACTGAAGGAAAGGAACGACACGCTGAGCTCTTCGATGCCCGACTCGAGTTCCTGTATGCGAGATTGCAGATTGACGATCGTGGTCTCTTTTCTCTTGCGATATGCCTGCTGCGCGACGCGAAGCTGCTTTCGACGTCTCTGGATTCCTTGAGTCAGTTCCAACTTGCTCTGTAGTTGCTCGGGACGTGCCCACCTCGGGAGCTTGCTGATCGTCCGTCACATTTCGTGGCCGGCCTCTCTTGCGAGGAGCGGGCGCGTCAGTCATTGCTTTGACCATCGTGTATTGCTTTTGAGGCCTATCTTTGATCTTGAAGACATGCGGTGATGTAATGGATAATCTGAGAACGCGAAAAAGACGTGACGGCGTTGCTTTACTCATCGGGGTCGGGGCGTCGGGACTGTTGAATAATCGAAAAATCGGTGGGTCGCCACGATTGGCCCGAACTGCGCCCAAAGTTTGAAATTTGGAGTCGGGCTCCGGTACTACGGCTCCGCCCGAACGTCATCAACTCATCAAGAAGACCGAGCGCGCCGCAACGAGGAATATAAATCGAATCATCGACCTCAGCTTACTCCATAATTCTCCATCTCCAATGCTCTGAAATACCTTCATTCCGCAGCGTACAGTGTACAGCGTACAGCTCTCGCAACATGTCTTCATTCACTCAGCCGATGCCGGTAGTTGCCTGCGGCAGAATACCCGCGATGGGCAAATCAATCTCCCAGCACCTGCTGCCTGAATATGAAGGTTCTTGATATATATTCCTGAAATAAACAAAGTGTGGTGCTAATGCTCCTCAGTCATCCACTTCATCCTGTCATATGAGGCTGCAGAGGCTGAGCTCCCGCATCTGCTTGCAGGTCGCGATCCTCAGTCTCAGAGCCCTAATGAGATCGGAACCCATGATTACAGCCGGCCTCCTCGCGCGGTAATCTTCGGTCGCGGCTATGAGCCTCAGCAGGTTGAAGAGCTTAAAAAGAAATTCGCGGGTGTTGCTAAAGAACCTGTTGCTTGGGTGAGGGGGAACCCAGCGGATTTGCCTGCCGGGGCCGCTGGGCCTGACTATGCTCAGAAGATCGCGGCGGATATGAAGAAGGTGCTTAAAAAATGGAGGGACGGGGGAGGAAAAGATGAGGAGATTTTGGTGTACTAGTTGCTTTGTCGGGGAGAGATGATCTGATGCCTTGCTTTTTGCCAATTCGAATCTCACAAACACAAATTCAAGGGCCGATTTCAAGGGTATTTGTAAGTGGTCTTGGACTTCGCTAGTTGGTTCCCTGGGCTTCGATCTTTTGGCGGTCGATGTACTTCTTCTGGCCGAGGCATAGAATGAGAATAGGAGATTGAGCATCCAAATGTTTACACCAAAATCCATACATTAAAGCTGATGTTTCATCCGCGACATGGGAAGTACCATCATTGTTCACTTTGTCCTTCACTAGTTCAAGTGAACAATTCCACTTCCCGGAGTATCGTATTTATTCCTGAACTATATCTGTGAATAGCTGGGGGAAGGAAGGATGTAAATTAATAGATTTGTGCAGAATAGTAACGGCAACATCGAGACTGTATGCAAGTAAGATTTAAATTCCCAAGATATAACTACGACATAGACTGGCTTTGCCTGAGCTATTGCCTTGATCTTCAATCTGAGGCCGGGGTACAGCAAATACAGCCCCTTGGCCAGCGTATGGAATGCACGGTTCTAATATAAATATCAGCGACTCGTCATTTTTTACAGTCTAGGGAAAGGTGATCAGCGCGTTAAGAGAAAAATCTAATATAGATTTAGGAATATAATCTTGATTATGTTTTAGGGGTTGAAAATAGCTTCGATTTCGGCTCCGGCCAATCTTAGGTGGCGGCTCGGTTGCAGTGGCGGTTCGCTTACCAATTACGTTAACGTAATTCCCAGGTGAGCCGCCCACCCGGGTGAGCCGCCCACCCCCATCCGATTTCGACGCATTCGAACGTTGAAGCTATCCAAATCAACCAAAACAATATAAATTTTCAATAGATCTAGCTAGTATTACGTGTAGGGCATCTAACTCTGGTATGCCCTATAGTGAAGCAATTAGAACACCTTGGTGGCGCGCGTTTAGGGGGTTCTGAATGTAAAGGCGTAGATGACCCCCTAATATCATTACCTTGCTCATTCCTTGCCTGGATAAGCTCCCTAGCTTCCTGTATATTAAGTCCTTCATTAGGAGTCATCTGGCGTCTAGATCGCTTCCTTTTCTGCTTCTCTTTCTCATTGGCTGCACGTAGATCATGGTTTTCCTTTGCTAGGAGGGCCGCACTATGCATAGCCGTTTCGCAACCCTTGATAAGCTGCTGTATAGCTAATTTTGAAGGCGTTGAAGGGCTTTGAGATCGTTGTTTTAGGAGCTTCTTGACTGAGGACGCTTGCTTTTGTAATTGCCGAAGTGTATGAGGCGTAGCAAGCCATGAGCTGGTTGATGCACGGCTTGGAGGGGGGTAGGGGTAGATACACAGATATTTAGCTTCTCAAGCACCCTCTTTGGATCAAAAGGATAGATTCCAGCTGCTGCAAAGCCATTTTGAATATTAAGAGGCTTAAAAACCTCTAGATGAGCTGCTGGATACGCTCCAAGGAAGTCAAACTTATCAATATGGTTGTATCCTGAGCGCGTCTTTTGCTCAACAAGGCGTCCATATTCGCGCTTTAAAGGGCCAAAACAACCAACATCTAGTGGTTGTAGAAGATGAGAAGAATGAGCAGGCATGCAGATAGCGATAATATCATTATCCTTGCAGGCTTTATCAAAACCAGGTGTTAGATGGCTCCCGTGGCCATCTAATACTAGTAGACGATATCTTCCAACTGTACGACCAGTTGTTGCAGGAATAAAGACCTTTTGAAGCCACCGAAGGCCTATCTCATCTGTCGTCCATCCATTCTGACTAACCTCAATCCGCCAATCAGATGGTAAGGCATAGTCTTGATACCATCCCTCAATATGAACCTTCCCTTTGAAGATTATACATGAAGGCAGCACCCAGCCAGTTGTATTAACACATTTAATTGTTGTAACCCATTCCCGATTGCCTGGCTGAATGAGATAAGGCTTCCCAGGCATATTAGCTCTTGTAACTACCTTAGTAGTTGCAATCAAGCCCATTGCGAAGCCAGTTTCATCAAAATTGTAGATATCTTCATAGGAGATGCCATATTGCATTTGGATCTGTTGTAGGCAATCAAACCACCCCTTGATAATCTTTGGATCCTCGCATTGAGCCCGGCTATAGTTATATCGTCGAGCATATCGAGTTTTGATCTCATCACGTCGATTGGTAAAGGTAGACACCCAGTTCTTGCCAACAGGTTTGAATCCAGAGGGATTATCTGCCTGAAGAAGGATATTGGCCATTTCTTGCACATGAGATGGCCTAGGGGGCACTCCGCGTAGATCCATAGATAGTATCCATTCTACCAATGATTCTTCCTGCGTATGAGATAGTCGGTGATTATTACCGCGTTTTTCAATTCGATATTGGCATCCATTGAGTCGGCCACGGAGGGTAGATTTAGGAACATCAAATGTCTTTGCAGCGCGACAAATACTTAGAATTTGCCCCTTTTTCAAAGCAGATATTGCTAATTGAATCCTTCCCTCTTGTTCCACCAAATTCCCAGAGGTTTGACGCGATTTTGGTGGCATGGTTGATTTAGATAGGTTCAATATTCGAACGCGTCGAAATATTGGATGAGGGGTGGGCGGCTCACCCGGGTGGGCGGCTCACCTGGGAATTACGTTAAAGCCCGACGGCTGACTAACCATTCGGACTTTAACTAGTTAGTTACTGACTAACTAGCTATTTAGTTAACTATAGTTAACGAGTTGATTGCATTACCTGACTAAAACATGACACTGCTTAAACAAATTGTACGCTTCTCCCTTCTAAAGAACTAACTTCGTTTAGAGGCCGGGATTGATCATAGCCGATGGCAAGTAAAGTCAGGTGTATTGTGACAATCTGTGCTCCCATTAAGAGCAAAGTAGCTTTGTCAGAAATGATCACACGATGAACTGTTGAAAGATAGCTGATCGTTATTTGAAAAATAGGTTCCCAATTCCCATGTTACAGAAATGTCCAGCTGCTTCTGACCTTGGAGTGGTCGGGAGAGCTTAAAACTGCGGGATACATATGCATTGGAGATATCTCGCGCAAAACTAATGTTGTCGAAGGTGGTCCCATGCTTAGCTTCTGCGGGGTGTTGGTGAGAGCCATGGTATGGTTGATCACGGACTATAACAATGGATCTGATTGCCATGGATAATCATTGATTTCAACCATTGCAGAGTAAAGATCTAATCATATGAGATCCACATAGCTGAGATCATTCACGAACGGCATATGCTGGGGGACACTATCTATAAATGCACCATTACAATCGCCCTCTAGCTGTGACTGAAATAATCAATAATAACTAAGATATACTATAAAGGGTACTCTTAACTATTCTATTGTCTCGGATTAGTACCGTCATATATCAAGATTGCTCGTCCATCGACAGCATAATGAAGGGACGTTGATCCATCCGGGCGGGGTCTCTTGAACTCTTATATCAACCAGCCGCACATTAGATATGGGTTCTTTGGTAACTACTAGTGGCCACTAAGGTGAGGTTAGGTATATATATATTTGACCCGCCCTTCCCTTCCGCCATATCTGCTCGTTGTCAACTCCATCGCCACGACGGGGAAACCAAACCCAAGAGATCTTGACCACCTTCTTTATCCGGTCAGCTTGTTCTTTTCTTTTCTTTTTCTTTTCTTTCTTTTCTTTTTCTTTTCTTTTCTTTTTCTTTTCTTTTCTTTTTTCTTTTCTTTTAGGCATTCTTTTTAATTAGGCAACCATGTCTGGAAGGGTACTTGATAACAGAACCTGCCCGTTGAAAGTTCCCGGCTTCCACGATATTCCCATCGATGTGGAGCTTCCACGGGATCAATTTGCAGCGGGGATCAATGTTTGGCGAGGTACGATCCTTACTGCAAAAGAGCTAGCCATGCTGGATTTGATCAATACAATTACCGAAACACCAAACTGACATGTGCGGATTTTTCAGCAGGAAGAAATTGCTCGCTGGCGAGAAGATGCGCTGTCATCCTCGTCGCTGATCAACGACCCGACGTGGAGCTGGTGCTTGAAAGAGTTGCAAGACAAGGCAAGAGAGTTTGAAAAGCGAGGGCACATGCTGGTATTCAACACCGGTAGTGGTGTCTGTAAATCTGATGCGGCGATCTCGCCGACAACACAGGCACAGCTACGAGACGCCGTGGATCTCTTAACTAAGGACGTGGCAGAGAGGATACAACACCACAACGCTCGGAAGTCACCGGTCTTAAATCTCGTTGACCCGTCTCTGTTTCCTCTTGTCTATGGGAGAACAAAGGTGTTGACCGCAGGACAACCTTGTGGAATGGACCAAGGTTTCTGGTCGTCACGCCTTCATGACGGCCAAATCGCACCAGCGCGACCGCCGTTTGCTCAAGAAGGGGCTTGGGAACACCTGAGATTGGACTGCATCTGGTCAACCAGATTTCAGTGGCTGCCTTGCGAAGTGGAATTCAATGGGCCGCCTGAGTCCACTGATGTTCAAATTACTTCTTACATCAACAATCTCCACCCCACAAACCGGAACATGTACTCAGCGATCGAGGCAGTTCTTGTCAGCAGTATCAAGCAGTGGAATGAGATACTGATTTGTGCAAAATGGACTGAACGGCCTGGACGCAGAACCTCTTGCGAACCCCAGCCTCGTGAGCCGATCCGAATTCGAACATACGGGGTGGACTGGAAAGTGAAATTTCCGGAATGGGCGAAGAAGCTCCCAGAGCAGTCCAAGGAAGACCAGCTATCTGCTGAGCAATACGACGAGATGTGCGCCCAAGTAGAGGAATATCTTCAGCAACCTGAATCTGAGGATAAGGTACACTGGTGTCTGGTTCATACGCAAAAGATTCCAGAAGACTGGAAAACACGATGGGGACTGCAGCGCACTGCATTGACTAAGTATGCCCGTATGTTTTTTTTTGAGCACTCGGACCCAGGAACTGCCTATTCTTATGAGGACTGGAAGTCAGGAAGGACTAGTGAGGCCATAATAGGCCCTGCTGATCAGGAACATTGGGGCCGGACATTTGAAACGGGACAGTTCCTTCTGTCTCACCCTTGGCTGAAACCTCACCGCTGGGCCTTTGAGCCAAAAGGCCAAAAGGATGATGACCATCGATTCTACACGGTTGCTCTGCAGGAGGAGTTTCGAGAAAATGGCCTTCAGGTTGTGATCCAGGTGCACAGTATTGAGCTAGAGCCAGATATGCCATCCTTTTCTGGCGAGGACTGGCATACTAAAGGAAATGCAAGCGAGCATATAGTTGCTAATGCCATTTTCGCGTTCAATTTTAATAATGTTACAGAGCCGCAAATTTCATTCCGGCAGCGACTCTCACTTGACTGTCAACGATATGTTTATGACAAGATCGGCGCGGGTGACGACCCTGATGACGATGAAAGTGATTTTGAGGACGTGGAGTATAGTGACCCTGAGGATGCCTTAATATTTGAGCCAGATCCAGAAGAGAAGTATGCGTGCTGGGATGTCAAGTATATTAGAAGGCTTTTTGGATTCAAGGCAATTCAGCATGCGCCCGCCTGGCGGGAGCTAGGGAAAGTGAGAATGCCTCCAGGTCGCTTAATTTCCTTTCCCAATGCCTTTCAGTACCGAATGGGTCCGTTAGAGCTTCAGGACAAGACCAAGCCGGGACACTGTCATTTCCTTACTCTCAGTCTTGTCGATCCCACGTACCGCATCTGCTCGACACGAAATGTTCCCCCACAACAACCAGGTTGGATCGATGGCTCTGGATCACAGATCGATCTTAAAGAAGCCCACGAGTTGAAAGAGAATTTGATGAAGATACATGTCCGCAAGGACGAGGCTACCATTGAGCTTGCTAGAACTATTGTATTCACGGGATTTCAATGAATGTACAGGTTCAATTTGTCACAAGTGCAAGATAACTCTATCACTAGTCAAAGGATCATTACAAAGCAGGTCTTCTGTGGAATCTACAAATAAAAGCGTATCTCATAAATTCTTTAGATAAAATTGAAAACAAGCACAGACCATGATAACTTAGCAAGACTTCAGCCCAAGTGGCACATGATTTACGAGGCCCATAGCGGCAGCAACCTCCTCGAGGATCACACTTTGTATTGGCACGTTGATTAGATATACTGCGTGACGAAAAAAGAGACAAGCCCGTTGGCTGTGAACTTGCTCATGTTCTCGCAAGGAAAGTCGCGTTTGTGATAACCTTCACCGAATGGTGGCCATTGGAAGCTTCTTGCAAGATTACGCTTCACATGGCAAGGAGACTCGATAGATGTATGACGGCCCTCGAAAGGTCAATTGATGGAAACCGTCGTGATTTCTCGTCCCGCTTCCCATAGTCACGGGCCTAATCGCTAGAAGCCTAGGCTACTGTAATGGTGGTGGAACCAGGGGAAGCGGGGACTTTAGCTGACAGGCCAGCAACCTCTGTTCCATTCATGGGCTTTCCCCATACATCAACTAGTGAAGTCTGTCAGTACTTTTCCCTAGCTAGTCAAGTTAATTAGCACCCTTGCCCGGCACACTTGCTCTTCATCCATGCCCATCTCATCAGAAGACGGGGACTGTGATACCAGGTATGCCCTCAAAATCTCCTTTCAGCCTGGCGATCCTGATCTTTGGCTAAAAGAAGTCGATACCAGAGCTGCATGCGACATGTATATATATCCAGCCCTGTTACTCCTAGCTGGTGTCGCTAGAGCACGAGAAGAAATCTATACGTCTTGAAACTGTGTCAATCACCTGAACATGGACTCCTCCGTAAGTCTTTTCTCATCTCACCATAAGCTCCTCACTAAAAAGTAGAATGTGTTACGTATCATTGCCGAGATAAGTATTTGGGCGAACAAACGATGATCAACAGAGGTTGAGCCAGGAGTGTCGCGCGCTGCGAGAGGCACTAAAAGTAAACAACTGCCGAGTTGGAGGAGGCGACCAAATTAGCACGATGTACTATACAAGACCCGCCCGCCAGCATATGGGTTCCGTGATTGATCACCTTAAGGGTCGTGGGGTTGAAAGACAACCTTCGGAGTCATTTGAAGTCCTGTTGACCAGGGTGCTTCGCCAGTGAGAGGATCACAGAGAGGAGGCGGCAGACCAGGGCGCCAATGGCAATAAAGACCAAGGTAACAGTAGGTAGAACGGCTATCTATCACAAACGAGGTCGGCTTCCAGCCCTCCAGCTGTTGAACAGAGCTTTTACTATGGGCCATTGGATGTTGACACACCAGACAAAGTGCCCAACCAAGAGAATATCTTAGTAAATTTTCTGTCGCCTTTCTAAGTGAATCCATTATTATGTGCTGCGTTGATGACAGCTCAAATAAGTCAATGATGCTCATCGTGAACACAAATCATACAGAGTGGGAGGTGTAGATTCAAAGCCCTGCATCCATCCATCATCAATAAGGGGCGCACTCATGGACCAAGCTAAGGTCCATATTACCACAGATACGCCACCAGGTCCTACTTCACTGCAGACAAGGCAAAGAAATATGGCCCATTCCCCATCCTGCTTAGCTTATCCCAGGATACAGTGCACTCTCCACGCTCCTCAGTGTCACTCAGGAGATGTAGCTTTAGCGATGAGATTGAGAAGCAGGGACATGATGAATCGTGGTCAACAGATGAAAGTTAAGACATATTAGGGGAGTATATATCTCTCTGGACTCCAGCACCATACATCTTGTCACAATGGTGCGCGCGAGATATATACATATGAACTGCCAACAAAGCAATCACATAAATACAAAAGCCGCTGAGACCAGAGTATACTCTGCATACATAATGAGAATCCTTCACTTAGGAATTCCGTCATTCATGCGCATGTGTGGGAGATGTAGTCGTTATACCATCTAACTAACCCAACAAATTATCTGGTCGTCGAAGCCAGGCATCCCCCACGGTTCCCATAGGTGGCCCATCGTAGAGGGCCGTGACAATCGCAACCAGCATGTCTTCCCTAGTCATGGTTGCCTCGCACCAACGTAACGATTTCTCGGTTACTGGGCGCGCGGTGATGACCAGCACATCACCCAGACCAATAGGTTCGTAGTAAAACATGCTGAGCTTGCGGATAGCACCTTGATCGAGAAACATGGAGAAAATCCGGTGGCAAAGGAGCTCAATCAGCAACCAGTATTAGGTTGGCTAATGATCATTAGGAGCAATAGCCATGGCTTAAGCAGGAGCAGCGTGGCTGAGAAGATAGTCAACGTCCTCAAGAATCTTTCTTCAAGAGTGGTATGGATACAATTCCTGTTTAGTAATTAGGTCGACGGGATGAGTTGGTTCTTCAAGCAGTGGCGATGTACAGATCGAAGCAGAAGTAGATAAAGACCCAAGGAAGAATCTTCATCCTCTAATGGGATGGTCTCCAACGGAGCTGGCTGCATGACTAGAGCTCTGGGGAGATGCATATCTGTGTACGACATTTTATCTGCAGACTAGATCAATAGAATCAATAGGAATAGTGACCTGCTGGAAATGATAGCCTAGGATAGTTCTGGGATACATAAACAATTTAAACTTTGCGGTACAAAGGCAAGGGCAAGCTGTGGAAGTAGCAGCCATAAAGCAATAGCCTTTAGCAGAGTGTCGCGGGTTGGGCATGGTTCTGCGAGAAGTGTGCATGTACCTGGTTTCCTGGATATTGCGGGTTTTGCAGAAGCGGCTTCGAGAAGTGTAATTGACGAACCCAACTCCTTTTGAAAAAATAGCCATAGGGTCGCCCTATTAAGACAGCCCCCGATAGAACTGATCCGACGGACCCGAAGCAATATAATCCTCCTGAAATAACCGAAAATATCTGTAACGACCGTCAGAGCAGACACCTGTTGGTGTTTGGCGCGTGACCCAGAAAATTATCTGTTCTGGCGATGGCTTGCCCAACCGAATATGACATGTTTTATCGTGGCCCAGAGCAGAATCATCAATCTCGAGCTCCCTTGCTAGTCCTGTAGCAGTCTGATAACGCATGGCGCAAGCATTAACAACTGCAAATAAGTCTTCTCAAGAGACAACGACGACACCGCCCCACCCCCAACTCTGTGGCGCATCCGCTGGTTCTGATATTCATGAGGATCTGACCCGTTTCTGGTTGTTGAAGAAGGACATGACAGCCGAGGTTGCGGTAACCATAAACAACAGCCATTCGAACGCACCAAAGGCCGTCGCCGCCTTGAGCGCCGCGCACGAATTTTGTCCCGACGAGCAGGCATCGGTCGTCGAAACGTTGACAGCCACCGCAATGAGGCCGGCGAGCCAGGAGAGGACAGCCACAGCCTCGGCGGCGATACCAATATAGCCAATCATCCGGCGGTTTGCGAAGCCGAGCTCGATGAAGTGGAAGACGACGGCCAGGACCGTCCAGACGGCACAGAACATCAGGAAGCCCCACGCAGCAGGGACGCCGACGTGGAGAGTGGCGTCGCCGCCAAAGACGGGTGCGTCGACGTGGTCATCGTGGCCACGAAACACGTGAATAGCTAGGCGACGGGGTTAGTACTCCGAGGCGGACCGACGGGTGAGGGTGGGTTAGCGGTGCGTACCGTAGCCGTCTGTTCCCATGACAATGGTGGCGAAGAGCAGCTGGAGCCCTCGCACGATGTAGTCGAGGGGTTTGTTCTCGGCCATGTCTACGGTCGTGATGTGTAGGGATCTGGTGATGGGGTTTGGGAGGTGGTCGGCAGGTCCAGTGAGTGATGACTGATAAAGAAGTGAGGAACGCACAGCGTAGAGCAGGAAACAGAAACTGCGGGAGGAAAACAAAAATGTCAGAGCAAGCTAATACAGCATGGCATTGTATGCAAGAATGGGGCAATCTACCAAGCGGAACCAATCCAAAAAAGATAGGGCCGTGGCATGGGTAAATAATGCGAAACAGAGAACGGGTGAGGTGTCAGCCAATTATATTATTCACATCATTTGGCACGGCTGGCACCATATATCCTCCAGTTTTAGATTTCTACTCCCATTTTGAGATAGAGCAACGTACGCATGCAGTTTGATAGTCAAGCGGTGAAAAGAATCCGATTGTCTCGCGTTTCCCAAGTTATGGCTATAATAATAAGTGGCCGCGCCTTTCTCTCTCCCGAAAGAGGTGGCAGTGTGCGGGGATATGGGAGCGATTGGATCTCATAATTTAGACTACTAGTGGTTATTGAGACCAGGGATTATTATCAAGAGCCCAGGAGGGGTTGGCCCGCGCTTTGCGCGGGTGAATTTACCATGTAAATAATAAATGCGCTAGATCAGGGGGGATGGACACCCAAACTCCGGGAAGAGAAGTTGTCTATGAACATAAATGTAGGCTTAAATGTAATCAATTTGTCAATTTCAATTAACAGCGTCCGCTCTGGAGGCTCCTTGGCGTCCTTTAGAATCGCGCGCCATGCTGGTGCGCATTCTGACTACGCGGCGAATTACGTAGCACCTATCTTACTGTTTCCTACATACAACAACTGCCCTGAAGAAGGAAAGCAAGCCCAGGCGACTCTATGTAAGCGCCCATATTACGGTGATAACCCTCATGCCCGTATATCGCGAGCGCCTCTGAAGATGCGCCTAAGCAACCTTCATGTTTTGTGAAATACGTGGATTTTTTTGTGTCTGATATCCGAGCCATTCCTTACACCAACCCAGTCTCGACGCAAATCACAACCACGAAAGACGCAGGAGTAAAGCATCACAGAAGCGCTTGCAACACATCGAAGTGGTCTTTGTTCCAGCAAGCGTCTTCCCGTCTTTCTCTGCAGGTTGGTAGACCATCATGACTTTCACACCGCCGACTTTCCTTCCTACTGTGCCATCAGTCCCGCTCCAAGAGCCGGCCGGGGATTTTTGTCTGGCAAAAAGTCTTGGCAGGACCATCGGATCCGACTCAGCAGACAAGCGAGCCCCCCTTCGTAGAGGCAATGATTGATCGGGCATGGACACCGGACGAAATCAGTGCTCGCGTCGCTCAGGTAGCGGCCGCCTTGTGCGCGGGTACATTGACTCTGCCAGCGATGCGCTTCTCCCGCCTACAGACAATGCGGACTTCTGGTGGCCAACAGGTGACGTCGGCCTCTTCCGCACGGCCCCTAGCAGTGAGAACCATCTGTTCATTGTAGATCGCATCCGTGACATGATCAAGGTCAAGGTGAGTGGGCATACCAAGACGACGTGTGAATTCGCGCACTCTGGCCAACCTATTACTTTGTAGGGCAGTCAAGTCGCCCCCGGCCAAAACGAGGAACACCTGGTCCAACACGCCACCGTCGCCGAGGAGGCCGTCATTAGTATCCCTGACGAAGTAGCTGGCGAGCGAGCTCTGGCCTTCGTGGTCCGGGAGCAGTCGTACGCACCCGATACGAGCGAGGCCGATCTTCGCAATGCAATCCGGGATTACAACGACCTGCAACTGCCTGAGGTTTGCCGTCTGCAGGACCGAATCGTCTTCATTGATCAGATACCGAAAAGTGCGAGCGGCAAAATACAAATCTTACCTTTGTTTTGGTGTTGCACTTCCAACAGACTCTGCTTCTTGATGCGCTCTATTGCAACCTCTTCTTCTGTCTTCTCTTGTGGCGTTTTCTCTTCACCCAGATCCCGATCTGTCTGGTGAACGTGCCGCTGGGGCTGGGAGTCTAGACACGAGTTCCATATCGTCATCATCTGCTACGTCTCCGCTCGACGTGGCTTCAGCTGCTTCCCACAATCTTCCGGGTCCCGTGTTGGCAGCATGCAGAGGTGACTCTGAACCACCCATGTCGAGCATGGTGCTGATGAGATCTTAGGTACAAGCATCTGCACTGCTGTCCGAATTCATCCTTTGCTGTACTTTCTGGGCTTCTCGCGTTATCTCTTTAGGGATCCCCCCCCCCCCCCCTTTTTTTTCAGATCCTTCTGGATCAGCTTCCACCGAGTGATAACGTCTTGCTTTTCTGCTTCGGAGCCCTGCAGCCACTCCTCGTACCCTTGAGCTGCCCTAGACGAGATGATATAGCTCTGCACATCACTGCCGAACAACTTCTGCACCTCTTTGCTGACCCCCTGCATCGTATGGCCCAGGATACCAAAAAGGGCTGCGCCCGGCTTGGCGAAGAATCCCCCGATTCCTTTGCCAATTCCTTTGACAAAGCCGCTGGCACCCCCTTTTTGGGCGCCTTTCCAGGGCTGAGTGACCAGGCCAGTAACGCCATCGTACCAGCCATAGCCAAACTCTCTTCCTACTGCCTTGACACCTGACTTGAAATCGCTAACTCTTTCCTGAGCGCGTACGGTGTCATCTCCCCAAAGCCTAGGCATGTTGTGAAAGCCTCTCGCGAAATTCACTGAAATATCCACAGGTCCTTGCACAACCGCCTTGACGAAACGCCCAGCGCCTTTGCTCACATGCACGCCAGTCGGACGGAACATGTCGGGTTGTTTGCCGGCGTCAGATTCTTTCCGACTGCGGGATGGACCTCGACCAGGATCGTCTATTCTGGGATCCGACTGGCCTGGTGTGGGCACGTTGGATGTTAGAGTTGACCGACCGGAGAGGGTGGAAGCGTTCCGAGCAAGTGTAGGAGAGTCCTCTCCGACGGAGCATTGCCTACTCGGTCTAGATGGAATCGACAAATTCGATCTTTCCCCCACATGCGAGACCTCACTTCTGCTCGCGGTCGTCGATGCCGATGCCTGGGACTGCTGTCGGCTCCGCCCAGCCGGCATCTGTAAAGCTCTCCATGTCTCCGAAGGAACATCAGCTAGCCCCATCGTCATGCCGCCGAAAGCCCTCACAAATGCTGTAAACCCTCCGGAGATCGGATCCCAGGGACCCTCGTCGGTGTAATGTTCTTGCGGTCTGAAGAGCTTCAAGTCATCGAAATCTAACAGCCCTGCGTTCGTCAAAGTACAGGCAGCAAAAGCACTCAACCTGACCTTGGTGCGCCTGACGCGCCACACAGCGGGTCGGGATGGTGCGAGAGTGCAGCGGAGCCGGTCAAGGTTGAGGGACTGATGGAACGACTGGGCACCCCTGTCACTACCTCGCTCTGCCGCGATCTTGCTTGCAAGCTCTCTGGCGCGCTCCAGGCATCTGGGGGTCAGACAGAAGTTGATGGCCTCGGCTAGTTTGTCTGCCGTGAGTTGTTTGTGTGGGATCGGACTGGGGCCTGCGCCTGCTCGCGCGATCATGGCGCCCCAGAAAGGCTGGTCTCCGAAGAAGGGAACGACCACAGTCGGCCGGCCTGCGGTGATGCCTGCCGCCGTGGTTCCCGCGCCACCATGGTGCACGACGCACGAGACATGCTTGAAGAGCCAGTCGTGCGGCACGTTATCTAGCATGAAGACACCATCGGGGATACGAAGCTCATCTGCGCCCATACCTCCCCAGCCTTTTGAAAGGAGCACACGTTGGCCAGTCTTCCTCACGGCGGCGAAAATGAGTTCCGTCAGCGTGTCGGGGTCATCCAAAACGATGCTCCCAAATCCTATGTAGATGGGGGTAGACCGGCGTTGAGGAATGCTTGTAAGTCACGGGCAGGTGTGTAATCAGAGGCCATATGAAGAAAGTAGAATCCGGAGATGGATATGTGAGAGCCCCAGTCTTTCGGTTTGGGCACCAGGGCCGGAGACCAACAGTAGGTGTGGGGGATCCTAAGACGCTGAAGCATCCCGGGGCCCCAGATGGTACTTACGGGATCCAAACTGAGACACTTCACACGAAATCGATTGATGATATCACCGAGGGCCTGCCATGAGAGTAGTTCGATCAGGGCATAGCTGATGTAATTGGTAAGTTGAGGGTCGGCATTTGAGGCTTGAATGTTGGCCAGGGGATGAGGAAAGGCCTGGGTAGGAGAATATGGCATAGTGAACATAATATGGAGCGGGATGCCGAGCTTCTCTGCGCAATGGATATGGGCAAAGCTCGGGGGGTTAGCGATGATACAATCAGCAACAAAATGTTTTGCTATAGGCCTAGAGCCAGAATCGCTTCCCGAGGACTCGAAAAGGTCATCAGTTCCATCATCAGCTCTGTAACAGGACCGCCAGCAGCCTTGAATGTACTCGGCAACATGTTTTCTTTGCTGGCCGACATCTCCGCTCATTACGCTCCGAAAGCCCGGCCTCAAGCCGGGATTCTTGACCATGAAGGCCATCAACCGGGTAGGGTCGCCGCCAATGTTGAAGAATTCCAGGCCATGCTGCTGAACAAAGTCCTCGAAGGTGGAGTGTGTCGCCAGACGTACACGATGGCCGTAGGCGTCTTTCAAGACTTTTCCCAAGGCAACGAACGGTTGTACATCTCCGCGAGAGCCCACGACCTGGATGACTATGTTCAAGGGCGGAGGTGAACGAACTGACAGATCGCCTCCCAGGGAAGGAGGAACGTATGGGGGAGGGAGCGGGTGACTGTCTTCTACATCCTGGATGTGTTGATGTAGAGCGGGAGCAATAATCTGGGACAGTTGGCGATTGAAGTGATTGATGCGGATGGCGATACGGCCATCGTCGGTGAGCTGGGCGCTGGTGCCAGCACCGTTCCTTTCATCGTGAAACTCGCCATAATAATCGCCGTAAGCAGGAAGGCGCACGTAGTCCTCGGCCAGCTCTTGATCGTCGAGGCCGATTTGTTGCAGGAGGGCGTTGTGTATTGAGGCTGTGGGTTGTTCCGCCGCGGTCTCCTGAATGCGTCGGCCCTTTGAGGGAGGTTGCGCTACCATGATGTGAATGAGACCAGGCAGGCTGGCTGCACCTCCTCCTCCTCACCTATTTATCACAGCTTCAGTTCTGTCCAAAGATGAATGAGCAATGAATAACTTACTAATTAGTAAGGTGACGCGGCAAACTGCACATCAGTGCTAGGCTGGCGTGAAATGAACAGTGCGGTGTGAAAAAAAAAAAAAAAAAAAAAAAAAGGGATATCCTGATGGGGAGCAAAGACGGGGCTCGGATTGACTGAGATTGATATCAGGATTGGAGGATTCTCGTCTCTACTTGGTCAAAGCGGAATGGAGTAATGGAGGGTCAAGGCAGCAACAGCTTTGAATGCGGTAGGCAGTGCGGCAGTGAGGGGCGCGCCCTGAATGTTCCTTTTTTCACATATCATTGTAAATCACTTCCCCCTTTTTTTTAGTGATATTTATGCTTGTAAAGGGTTGTATGTGTCCACTTTGGCTCGTGTTAGCTCTCAAAGCCAATTGGAACTATTTCCCCGCTTTACAGACATAACAGTGCTGGCGTTATGGCAATTGTTTCGAAACTGTATTATTCCAACCAGGGATAATTTTCTGACCTAGCGGCCCAATTAATCTCCCGTTGAAATCCCACCCCATCCACTGAGGGGCGGTCTATGTACTTCTGTAGCGCGGGGATAGGTCCCAGCGCCTTCAGGGAATAAAGAGGCTGTGCTACAGGATATCGACACAGCACTTGAGACAATATTACTCTGCCAAGTAGGAGCTGTTACCTCTTGTCTTGCGATCGTGAGCGGCTGGCACGAAGGGACAACACGACACGACGCGTCCTGTTGGTTGGTGTACGTACAAGTAACCACATCCGCTCCGGAAAGCAGGGAGTTACCCAGGAGGGTCTTCCCAGTGGCGGACGACCAACAGACAGACCGGTGGAAAAACGACCTTGGAGCCGGTTCTCGAGTCGGCCGACGCTCGGGCAAGTCAGATCTCTGGAGCAACTGAGGGGACTTTCTAGAGTGTGGGAGTTTAAAAGGCGGGAAGGGCCGATCGATCCTCGGGGAGAGGGTGGGGCGGATTCGCCGTAAAACTAAAGGGCTACTATATTAAGCGCTGAGATTAGTATTTTTGGATTGGTTAATCTGGCCAATTAGAGTGCTTCATTTTTGCCGTGTTATTTACCATCTGATTCGCGCGTCGTGGGTGGTTTAATAGTGGTGAATTTGGTAGGTTAAGAATGTAAAATCACGATAGTCGCATAGGTGGGCGATATTGCATGGGTAGCGGACCTCTGGAAAAAATGGTAATTCTGGTCAGGGGCTGGCTAACAGGTCTTCACAGCGGGGTTTTTTTAATGGACATTTCAGGCCAGGTTTTATCGCATCCGAGTTTTTCACCGCCAGCATTAACGCGCATATACGCCCAGTTATTGACCTTTGATCGACCAGGCCGCCCCAGACATCAATCACGGCATTGCATCGCGATGAGAGTGCCATGCCCTGGCCAGCAGACACTTACACACATGATCAGGTATTTTTACGCGCAAGCTTGCTGGGTCTTGATTGACGGTTGTTGAGTGATTCCGCAGTTCGAGAAAATCGATAGTCCAACTATAGGCGGGACCGTCCGGTGTTGTCATTGCAAGTGATGGCAGGGAAGCTCCAAAGTCCTTATTTGCAAGAACGTTGGATCCTTGATGATGAACCAGACCTAGATCAAACTCACTCACCACCGTCCCAGGCGCAACTCCAGAAGTGTCTGGAATACGCCGCGTGGAGGGCGGCAGGGAACGGTCAAGAACTGGCTCTGCTGAATCCCTACAACGCGGCTGGCAGAAGACTTCTTATTAACCTTATTAATGGCCCTGTCGATTCGTCCCTTGTCTCAACATCAAGTCTAGTCCCCACCATGCAACGACTACGATCGACGGTGGACATAAGCAAGTACTTTGATGAGTTCGTCAATGACAGTCTTGTTCATAAGGTAGGCTGACCCCAGCAACCTAGAGGTTCTCTCTGATGACCCAGCAGTGCGTACAAGTCCGATGCCAGAGCTGTGGCTTCGTCCAACCAAAGAACGCGACTTGGCAGGCAGACCCTCTGAGCCAATGCAAGGACTTTCCCTCCACCACTGAAGGAGAAGTACTGTTGACGAGCGGGGCCTGGCTACCAGTGATCAGCAATATCAGAATGCAGCCATCTGGACTGGTGCAAGACCGAGCCCCGATCTTCTGGTCAATCGTTGTGGTTCGAATGGTGCACTTATTGGAATGGCGCCAAGTGGTTCTAGTCCGCGGCCTTCCCTACCTGGAACACCACAGCTTGCGGAAGCGCCCTCGTTGGCTCAACATCTGCTGGCTCAGGCTGAAGATTTACTGGCGAACAGTACTCAACATACCTTCTTGTCGCATGCAGGTTGTGGATTGCTAACTAAGAGCGCTCTCAATCAATGGCTGACGTAGATCAGGTATATCTCACGGTCGCTTGTCTCATTCACTAGAGCACTGATAGGCAAGATCCGCATACCCGAAATCAACGACTTAGAACGCGACTCAATGTTCCGATGTCTAGACTTGTTGTGCTCTGCGGTAAATAATATGAAGAAGGAGTTAGAGTTTCTTAAAGCCACCAAGCGCAAGTACGGACTTGACGTCAGCATTGATGAACCGAAACCGCCCACTAAAGGCTTCGTCGATCTGTTCCACAGTGCATCATGTCCGTCTGCAACATTACTCGAGGGCATGGTGATGCTATGGGCTACTGAAATTGTAAGTTGCGTTACCCTAACCCTGCTTGTTCATCACCCTGAGCTGACCAGCTCGCAGCTCTTCCACAGCTCCTTGTCTTACGCGGGCTGGATTCGTCACTTGAACAGTGCCAATATCGCCACCACGAAACCCGTACCCCCTCACATCCTCGTTGCCACCAGAAGCACCTGCAGACCCAAACAGCGTCCAGCTAAAAACAAAAGACGGCCACACTACCGCCCTCCGCGAGGCATTCATCGAAAACTGGAAATCAGAAATCTTTGGCCGCTTCATAGGCGCCTGCAGATCCATCGTCGACGAGCTCGCCATGGTCCAGCCGCCAGGCAACGGCTGGGATGACATGTCAGCCTGCGAACGCATCTTTAAGCAAGCCGTCTGGCTGTGGGGTCAGATGTTCTCTGAGGTAATGGGCATGGAAGAGCAAGAAGAGTTGGATGACTGGTAGAACACCCGCGAGCGTAGAGACAACGGCGCCATAATTGGAAACGGCCCGGCTGATGTGCCTGTCGAGGTCGATGATGACCATCATGCGATTGCTTCCGCTGATTTTCTATAGCATCTTGCCGATGATCTCGTGATATTTGGCTGACGCCACATGCTGAATTTGATTGTGGATTTGAGCGGGTCTGCACTATGTTAGACCTGGCGCCGCAGCACAACGGCGAAGCAGCCGTATTAAAAGAGTACATTCTCATTGCCGAAGAGCCCCTGAAACTCGTACCTTGTGGTACCTAATGGACTCCTTGCAGAATGAAACGCCGCGTGGCTGTATTCGGCCTTGAATTGGCCCCCTGCAGCCGCGTTCGAGGGGGCAACTCACGTCGTAGTGTGCCATGCTCACAGAAGCGAATGGTCGTACGGGGTCACATATTACAATGCCCTGCTTGGCTGCCATATCTAGCCGAGGACAAAATGGACGGCATATTCACTGCCAGATGCAACTTATCCTCCAGCCCACATCTCTTCGACTCCGACGCAATCGCAATCTTGCAGCATGCTACCAAACTGCAATTTTACGCTCTCCTTACCCCCCGCCCCCAAATCTTGAGAATACTTCTGCACCACCGAGCTGTCCAGCGGATCACTGATTCAAGAAGGCGAATTCGATTCTGCCGGCCGAAAACAGACCATCAAGTTTGGGGCTTAGAATCGTAGTGGAGGTGAAGGATTTATTCAGCATAATTTGAGCGCTAATTACTGGCGTTCCCCACGTGGTTTGGGCGTGGTTGTAGGTCAGCCTGGTGAATTCCTGAGGTGGCGCGTGTTATATAACTGTAGTTAACAATCACCAACCTGCGCGTACTGTGTAAATTGACTACGATCTCTCACCCATTCCACTATACTCCAGCTGAGGAAGCTTGGCGATCCACTGGTGAATAAGGAAGCCATTAATTAACTCCTACGTGTACAAATCTTTGTGCTAGTAAACATTAGAGTTCTGGTAACAATCAAATATCAAATAAAAAGGCGATGCAGATCACATAAATGGTCAAACAAGTTGGCTTTTTGCTAGTAGAAGCTTCGTTGAGCTCACAGACACACATCCATACTAAAAGAAAGCAAATGGCGCCATCGCCGCCTTAGTCTGTTTAGCTCTGCTGCCACTTCAGGATAGTCAACTGTTGTGCTAATCCTTGCTGCGTGATCTGTTGTTTCCATGCCCACAATTCCATCCGCATACACCTGCAGCTTAATGATATCGCACAGACCATTAGCTTACAGTATTAAACCTAGTTCTATAATAAAATTAACTGGAGGAATAGGAAGAGTGTTTCCTTATTTAAACTCATATGGAAACAGCTTTCCTTCATAAAAAAGCCAACTGCAAGCATATATGTTGTTAAAGTCAGTTGAAGCAGTTGCTTTACCATCTTCTTTAATGTTTCGCTCATCTGGGTTTAGATCAAAGTGTCAATGGAGAAGGCATGCACTGAAGACCTTATAGACTTTATATTTCAGGAAACAGTCCCGGATAACAGTATTAATAAAGTGTTGGACCTTGCGTGTGGTAAAAGTCGCTGTGGCAGCGTGAAGAGAAGGCTTGGTAGCAAGGTGGTACACATTATAGTTATAGGGGACAGCAATAATTTGTTTTGCCATGCTTGTATTGTTGTATAAGGATTAGGATTAAAATATAAATAGCTTCTTGAATAATTCCAAACTAGGTGTAATAACAGGGTTGAATATATAAGAGTAAATAAGAAGATAAGCTTAAGAAAACCCCATAGATGGTAGAATCACAAAGTATAAGTATCTGAATATCTTGCCTCTTAGTCCCTCTAAATATGTTTTGAGCGTCGCTATATAGGGACGAGTAAAAACCCTAATTTATTTGTCTTTAAGCAGCCCGCTGGTTGCGGCATCAGTCTGCTTGAATCAAAGTGTGTAGAATAGTCAATTAACTAATGCTTTAATTTTCTGGAGTAACATTTCCCACTTCCTAAGTAATTTAAGTTGACACTGAATAGTCAGCTGCTTGCAGTGAATATTTAATCTAGTAGTTCGCCTATACTAAGGTGACATGATAGACTAGATGCAGTGACTTCCTAACTATGGTAGCCTCAGTACTTTTATATTAGAGCAAAGCTAACTACGAAAAGCCGTAACGTCAACCGCAGTTGCATCCTACGACACCGTAAGGTCCTGGGTCGATTCTGGCCTCATCAAACTTATAGAGCCGTATTAGTACTTAGGGCACAAGCGGGGATATCGTGAAGAGTCCTCGCAGAATACATTGGAACAGTGTAGCTGCGGCGTTGATCCCATATAACCTTGACGAGAACAAAGGCGCAGTTGTCCAAGTTGGATTCCGTACAGGCCCGGTAGACTAGAAAAAAACCAAACGGCTTCGAAAGGGGCAGCAGATCTCCAATGTCACTCGTGCAAAGGCCAGAGAAAAGCATCGTCGGATCCGGAGCGTTGATCTTCCCGGTCTGATGAAGGAGCTCATTTTCCTCGACCTGATTGAAGCTGGGAAACTGACCAGAAGGGCCAGTGAATTGAGAGAGTGAAATAGCTGGGCTGAGAGTCATAGTATTGTACTTTCTGTTTCTTAAAGGATAATTCCAGCTTTGCTGAATCTCTCAAAAGCATCCAGCCAGCCCTCAACGGGGTCTCTTTTCTCAGTGAACCCTACCCTACGCAATCTCTCTGAGCTCAAATGACGATCGAAAGATAGCCACCATCCCAGGGAATCCAACTGGGTACTTCCAGCAACTACACCACGCGTCACGCCTTTTGGTGGTCCGTTCTCGGTGAACAGATGACGGAACTTGCTTACATATTCTCCCGGCTTCAAAGCGTCACCAGTTTCTGAGGGTCCTACTCCCCTGAGCCCGAACCAGTTGGCGATGGTAGGCCATAATTCGGCAAAGTTCACGGGGCGGCGGTCGTTGTCCACCATGTTGATGATTTTCCGACCGCATTTATCCGGGTTGAGGGCTGCATGGATGGCAATTCGACCGAGAATCTTCTCAGAGACCGGCGTCAAGAGAGATCGATATGTTCCGGAGCAGAACGCAGCCAGGGGTTGGGTTGAGCACTACCGCGAGACTGGTAAAAGCGGCGGTACTCTTATCTACTACGGTCCTCAAGACGGCGCTCAGACAGACGAATCTGAGGCAAACAGCCTCGAACAACGCAGCTGCGGGTACACCAGCAAAGCGCCCGTGCGCGATTCTTCAAATGGGGCACGTAACGGCAACTGCAACGCTCTCATGTCTGATCTTTATGACATGACACCACGCCAGATCTGCTACCAAGGTGACTCCGGGAAAAACACGTTCTGCTGCGTCTCGTGGCACAAATCAATCCCTGGCCTCAAGAAAGGTGACCTAGCTCCCTACGCCAGTGCGAGTAAGTCCATGGTTTTTTAGCTTCATAATATGAATTTGAACCATATTAACTATGCACAGTATTGAATCAATGCACCGAGAATGGGATTTCAGGCAAGACTAGTAAGGTCTGGGTTCAAAATAAGTGTACCAATGTTTGCTTGTCAAACCGCGGAACCCATTGTTGAATGTGACGGTTCTAAACATGATTGGCAGGAGGGAAAGTATGCACATATGTGTATTTGTTCTGCTGAATCCTGATGGATCCACCTTTTTCATTTCTGCGCCTGTGTCTAGTCTCATGTATTGTTTTCGTTTATTTGGCTTATTCCAGAACCTTGATATACACTTTTGTTCGACTTCATGAATTCACGCCAAAGAACCTCAGCAGTAGTCTGGCAGCTCCTCGTCAAATTGACTTACATCCCTGGGTATGTGCTCCCGATTAGTGAAGATATAGCTAGATAATCTCAATAATCCTTGACACAAAGGTATAAGATGAAAGCTTCAAAACCATGATCCTCAACTATTTTATGAACCTGATGTCTTTCTTCCGAGATATAGCCACTGGAACGCAAGTGCGCCACCGAAGTTCGGTGGCCACTACTGACTAGGTGGACCGGTGTAGATCTCAGATTGCAAATTTCCGTTGTATGAGGTGATGACTTGCCCCTTTCTGATTCGAGTTCTTCTATGCTTGAGCTGTTTCTACAGTGCTCAAACAGTTGGGGACCACATCAGTAGTAGGACTGCTCGGCATCTGACCTTCGCAGCGTGCAGTATGTGTCAAATTTCATTGATAACGTGTTCATGGTATCTACGTGCTGTGGTGCCTACCAAACTATGTAGAAATAACAAGCGAACGGTACAAGTGACTATCTACAATAATTTGAAGGACAGTGCATCGTCGTCATGCTGGAATCAGAAATGTTACAAGTCGGTGTCGTGTGAAAGGTGCTAGAGAGCTCTATTCCTCCTCATCATTGTCTTCGCCATTCATACATTTCACAGCTTTGAACACGTCGAAGATGCCAGTTCCATCCGTAAATTTCTCTGGGCATCCAAAGTAGATCGGATAGGCAGACTCCCGTGAGGCCCACATAAGAGAGCCATGGAACTCATCAGCTGCACGACGATCAATTCTGAAGTCATACCAGGTGTTGGCCCTTGGAGGGAGAGGTCCCCATCCGTCAAATTCGAAAGTAGGCTCTTCCGGGCTGACTACCGGGTAGTAGAAGCTCATAAGTAGAGTACCGTCTCGGGCGCTTCGCTCATCGGCGATAGCGATTACATTCGGTTCGATAAATTTAACTTTAGCTTGGTACCACTTGTCTAGTGCCCAATTTTGGCATTGCTCTTTAGAGGCGTTGATGAAATCCGAATCGAAAGTCTCGCCGTCTTGTAATTCAATTCTAAATCCCTCTCGCTTGTCCGGGCAGATCTCCGATTCAACAAGATAGTACAGAGGAGGGGCGTCCTTCTCGGTACTGAATTCGCGCATGGCCTTAGGTATGAACTAATAACAAACTCAGCATCGTTTTATTACTAATATACAGTTGAAACTATTCAGTCCAGTCCGACATACTGCGAACAATGTGTCCTTGATCAATCACAGATGGACTTACAGGCTTGGCCTCCTCCGCAACACAAAATAGCAAGGTGCGTGTCATGGTAAGAAAGTTTATGTTGTGTCTTCCAGGGTGGTGTCAGACGTGACAAGTAGCAGTGAAAACGGGCAAGATAACTTTTTATATTTACAAATCCAAAAGAAGGGATGCAATGACCTCATCTTGAACCTGGCATAGCCCACTATCTAAAACAAGAACTTTTGTCGGCCCCAACGAGGACGCTACTATATTTAGCACAGCTACACTGTAGAAAATCGCCAACAAACTATAGAGTATTTTGTTTGGTCTAAATTGGCGCCGGTTAGTAGTTGGGTGGCTGACAACCAGCGAATCCCGTCTGCTATGCTGTTGTATGTTTTTTCTCTCCTCTTTTCGTTTTTAGCTCCATTCAAGGTGCCCTCCGCATGAAACGCCAATGTCTCTGAATCTTGGTTTCATGTCTTGATCGGCGCAGACCGGGCTGAGACTCGCTCAATCTGACTCAGGTCGCAGAGAATCTTTCCGGGAAATCGACTTGTTCCAGGAACGCGAATGACAGTCCGTAGACTGAGTCGCCTTCGAGAGTCGGCAGTGCCGAAAACTGCAGCATAGAGTGTGTAAGATTGATGTAGTGTGTTCCATGCCTGTCGGTTCATAGGGGCCGTATATACCCCGTATACTCTGTATATATTCGGCGAAATTGTGCGGACCCATCAGAGTTAAACTGCATTCTCCACCACTAAATTTGCGCACAGGATGATACGAGTTGCATGAGTTTGCAACAGTGCAAAGAAGATGCAAATACTGATATTGCGAGAGCTCTGGTCCCAGGAGGCCCATCGTTTCAGGAGAGCTTCTCGGCACATACGTCCTGCTCTATATCTGGGCCGGAGTCCTACAACTCCAGTTCATCGATCCAAACAGGGTAGGCAGCAAGTCAGTACAGGACGATGCTCTCTTATTCTGGAGTTAATGATACAATGCAAGTGTCTTTCCCTGTGTTCTTCGTAGTCCTTGGCAACTAATATATATTGTTACATGAGCCGTTAAGACAAGTCGGTGCTTGGATATCACATTCCTCCGTCATGTCTATCCGGTCTGTTTTCCTGTGAGTGAACAGGTGCAGCCACAACTACCTACTTATACAGCCAAAGAAGAGTAGCACTAGTGGCATGCACGGTGTGATGTGAAATGACATGCGCGGGACTGCCACAGACCGTAAATATATGGCAATGGGCTGCGGACGAATGGTCGTCAAGGTGCTCTTCACGACAGGTAACCTTTCAGTACAAGCGCAAATAGCAACAGCAGCAGTTCTTTCTGCAATAGATGCATGACACTGCTGTTCATGTCGAGTTGATTGCAGGAGGGAGACCAATAGGAGATACGTAATACTCAGGTCGATCCTGCTCGGGTCTGAATCGTCAACTAGCCAATTCTTTGCTTTCGCCTCACCCACACCTCCTTGTTGGTTTCCCCAGAAGCCCCATCGGTCGATGCGGGAGGGTCACGCAGCTGCACTTCCCAAACCTTGAGCTTGTAGTTGCCACGGTCCGACTGCCCAGAGAAGAGGTCAAAGGACCAGCCGTGCTTGGGACATGTGATAGCGACGCTGAGCACGACGCCAAAGTCTTCAATGTCAAAGAGGCTCCCCTGTGACAGTGGGAACGACGAGTGAGGGCATTGCTGGAACAGTCAGCGTGATTCTGCGTATCGGTTCCCGACTCACTCACGTGATCGATGGCATGAAATTTTCCTTTATACTTGAACACAAGGACCTGATCCTTCAAGTCCCCTGGTAGGTCAATATCCGCTTCTACTGGACACCCGGCCGCTTGACTCCCGTTTGTGTTGGAGTTCGGGATCCGAAAAGCTTTGCACTTCGCTGTGATCCGGCGGCCGTCATAATCGATATCGAGGTCCGGAAACGCCGATGCGAGGCCGACCTTGTGCCAAGCTCCATCTAGTCGAGATGGAGCTCTAAAGGGGTTCATCGCTGGGTGTAAGCGACCTGGCGGATTTTCTCAACAAGTTGGGTGAATCCGGCATCGCGCGAGATGAGACTGCCGTAGCACGTGATCTACCATACAAATCACAAACGATCTGTGATGTCACGTGACTATTTGGATATCCCGTTGAAGAATGAACCCATCTGGGCATCTCGTCTGCGTACAAAGCAATCCGTCGACCTGGCTCCCTGTCGACAAGATGCAGATTTCTGCCCTATGTAGGCGATTGCGCCGAATGGATTATGCTGTATCCTACTCTTCTGAATGGATGTTACAACGCACCCGTAAGGCAACAGTTGTCCACTCTCGTCCCTGCTGGCCCTGACGAAGTATGTTAGCGGGTACGTTTCTCATCCACGCTAATCGTGCTCCATGGTTATCGACACCGACTAGCTGGTGAGATAGTTGTTGAAGCCGTAGTATCGCTACCAGACGGGGTCATAGCAGAAAACCCCGGGGTGTTGTTTCCAAGAATGATCCCCGTTGGTGACTTCCTCTACTGGCTGCAATAATGAGGCGAGAGGCTGGGGCACACTACACTGCTGTGGGGGTTTGTATCTTGACGAGTAGGTATTGCGCGCAGTAGAAGCGGGAAAAAAACAACTTATCTATCTCTATTCAAGGTTACCAGTGCAAGAACAAGACATCCCAAGTAATCAAGCTTTCGCCCAGTCTGCTATCCTAACCCGGGGCCATTCTCACAGGCCCATAAACCATGGATGCTCCAGCGCCTGACGCGCTGTAAGTCGTTTAGTGGGATTCAGATTTGTCAACCCCCGAATAAGGTCTTCAAATGCAGGATCGACAACCTCTGGCCATTCGGAGAATGACTTGTATGGGATGTCCTCGTCAGTCCTCCCATCCCATAGCATCTTTAAAACTTGGCAACTAGATTCATCGTCCTGGAGGTGTCTCAAGAGGCCATTGACCCCGTCGTGGTCGCCAAAATATGAAACCTGGCGCTGCAAGCGAATAATGGCAGGGAATACACCCTGCATTTCATGCGTCCGGAAATCATCATCAGGACCAAGTATTACGTGTCCAAGTACAGCATAGATGCACTAATGATATTTATCAGTAACCCGTAGCAGGAGCGGAAGCTGAGGACGTACAACAATGCCAAATGAGAAGATATCAGTTGGTTTGTTCAGTTCACCCTTGAAATGTGCCTCGGGACTGCGCCAGTTGTCATTTCCAGCGAGCATACCTTTAATGCACCTTCCCTTAGGAATGTACGCGGCATTTTCAAAGTCAATGATCTGAATATCTTCAATGATCAGTCCCTGTTCATCCTGACGGCAGCCAACTAGGACATTGTCTGGCTTGATATCTAAACATTGTTAGTTCCCAAATCTGTGACTGTGTTAAAGAAGATTACCGAGATGAACAATATGCCTTTCATGCAACTCAGCAATGCCTAGCAGGCAGTTTTTTAAGATTTTCTTCTCCCCTTGCATTGGGATTCCGGACAAGATGTAAGAAGTTATCCGTCAAGTATTTATAAACTAATATCCGATGGCCTGGAATAGTGTCGCATGGGAGACGAATGTAGCGACTTTCAGGGAGCTGTGGTTTTATCCTCTCGATGAAGTTCGTATAGATGTCCTTTGGTATGTCTTTCAGGAGAAATTTATCACGTCCGGATCTGGAGGTATTAGTTCGCGATCGAAATAAGTCCAATTAGCTTGATATTCAGACCTTGCCAACCAGACACGTCCTACGTGTGGTCTTTCTTGGAGCAATTCCTCGAACCGATAGCGCCGACCAGTAGTTCCAATGAAATCGCACGATGCAGAAGCCATTCGAGGAATGGACCTGCACAACATGCTATATGCTGCACTCTATTGGGTTTGCAGCAAACTAAAGTGTATCATATCTGATGCCATCCATATGAGAAGGAAACGGTGAGGTAGTGGGAATATTCGATGTCAAGGGGTCCGACGAACCAGGAATGACGTACCTTAGCGCCCAGACGATCCTTGCTTCCACTTCTAACTCGTTGCAATAATACTTTTCCTAAATTCTTTGATGAAAATATCCAATGTTATCACCAGATTGTCACTATCGCTACTGTTTCAGTAATCCACTTCCCTCGTTCCCCTCAGGCTGTTTCGACAATACGTAAAGCACCAGCCAGAACTCGAATGTGCCGGTACGATCAGACAGCAGTCATCCTTTCTTCCCACCCCGGAAATAACGACTAGCTCATCTTCAAGAATCATATTGAGCCATCAAAAGCCTAATTTGCAACGGTGTAGGGGACTCACGTTCGCCAATTCGGCAGTGCAATGGATACTCTGGCTCTACAAGCGTTGTTTTCAGCGGCTATCATCATGTCTCAATAAGTGAATCTATGCTCAGTAGACATAACAATGTGAGAAAGAGGATATTTGTCAGACTTAAAGTCTTCCGAGCATGTAATGTGCTACTTACAGTCCTCTTTTAGCATCCGATGCTTCTTTGCGACCAAGCTAATGGTAATAAGGTGCACGCATACCCTTAGAACTCCTAAAGTTGAAGCCTCTATAAATGTAAGGTCAATCTGAGATCTACTTGATTCGTTCCTTGAAATCGGCGGTAGAGCTTATGTACAACCAAGGTAGACAGGTATCGAGCGAAGCCTGGGCCACAAAATCTCCTGACGATCAGTAAGGTGGAGTGATCTACCAAGCAGCAGTAGGGTGATTATATGGATCAATTGGATCGACCTGTCTATATAAAAGAATCTATGGGTTACAAAATTTCTGCCGAACCGATAGCTTCTGCGCTCATATATCCAATTATAGCATGGCACGTTAAAGGATCGGCCAATATTATTCTCACCCCAAGATCCTTATTTTTTCTGTATAGCCTGAGTGGTCCAACAGTCAGCATTGATGGGCCACAGAGGGCTCCGAAAGCAGCATGACGAGGCTTATTCATCGACATCAAAATTATCACGGCCTCCCAGGTCCAATAGGCACAGTAAGAGGTGTATACGCTTGCCCGTCCGTCAGTCAGAGTTAGCGAATCGATTCATTGCGCTTGAGAATCTCATGCAACCACCTGGCATGCAGCTGCGCCAAGGACTGTCTTTTCGTGGAAAGTGGAAAGATGCCTACAGGATGACTATTCTGCGAAGATGTCTCCAAAGAATTGAGAATCTTCAAGTCCAGGCCAGATTGAGAAGTAGTGAGCTTGAGGAACTAAAAAAGCGCTGGGTGGATAGGAATTCTATTATTCCAACTTGATTTCGGGTGAAGCCAGGTATATTTAGGCACCAAACTATCTCTGCAGGAATGGTTGAGCCGTTGCGACTTACGGGGGTTTTCCCTCGTTTTAAGATACAGCTGTACATGTGGTATCAAGCGTTTTCATCTCTTTTCGGCTTGACTTCTGTGACGTATTGCTCAGCGCCCGCAATTTGCTCCATCTTACAACGGTTTCAGCGCACTCAGACCATTTCCGAAGTCTGCAAATCCAGCTATTAGTATTTGGACAATCTATTGATTTATCAATGATCATATGACATGCTTCGTCATCCCGTCCTCATACACAGGGCACCATGAAAGCAGCGAACCTCCGTCCCGCACCGTGGTACGACAAGCTGTTTATTTGGGTTATCGTCTGGTGCAGAGCAGAGGAAACGAAGGATATTTAGGAACCTCTACCATTGGATGACCGATCTTCACAGTTGAGTTCACCTCTGTGCCAGCGCATCTAGACAGCAGATGCCGTGGAACAGTGAATTAGATTAGACTGGCTCATTGAAGAGGGTAATAACACTTCGGGCCACCATTGTATGAAAGCTTCATATATGAGTTTCGTATGTAGGAAAAGAAGCCACACAATGACAAATCATCCTGTTGCATATCCCAGACATCCTACTCATCCCTGATGGTAACTGGAACCTTGCCCAAGATACCAGATTCATTCCACTTTCCAATATCGACATTGTATCGTGGGTCCTGATCACGCAGCATGAACATATTCCTTTTTCCGGGCTCCATAGGAGCATTCCATGCTAGGGTGCAGATTCTGGCATCCTTTACATCGTCGATGAGGTCAATTGTGCCTTGCAACCCTTTGAAGCCTTTTTCTTCGCCACAGGAACAGACATGCCGCAGACCCCCGTTATGGCGAATAATCATGTCTTCAATGTCGTCGGTGGTTAGGGTATCATTCTGATCACCCTCCCTGTAAAACTCGCCGCTACGGAATGTCAGACGAAACTGCTAGTCACTGATGATCCAGGCAGACTGAGAAGTAGATACCTTTCTATATGAGCATTTTCGATTCGGATGTCATACTTCATGTCATCTTTGATTTCAATGTCGAGATATTGTTGTCCTGTTGTAGATGCCATATCGGTTTGATAGGTATATCGTGGTTGACACAGAGTTTCAAATAGTCAAGCTACAATGCAATAGAGATCTCACACGCTCAGAAGAGAAACTGACTCTGCTCAGGAAGGGAACGAGCACTATATACGGATTGGATGGATGCGGAATCGATGACGGAGGTCCTCTTCTGTTTTTATGGTACGGTGCGGGGTCCGCATCCACCAATCTATGTCCATTATCGTCTCTTTTCTGAACGGACATTGATAATGATTGGTTATTATAATAAAGTATCGACAGCAAATAGCGGCTAAATTAATCTGGTGCATTGGTGGCACTCCCGCTGAAATATCTAGTAGCACTGGCTGGCGTCATACTTACACTGACATGGCCCGCCGCGGAGGACCACCAATACCCAGATTGCAGCATAGTCCCAACAGTATGGGGATTGTGACTGAAGTCTTTGATGAGTAAGACTTTGTTGGGATCTGTGAAAGGACAGCACCCCTAAGCAAAGTTTCTATATGTATGAGCTTGCGGGCACTCGACCTTGTTCTAGAGTTCCTCAAGGATCAATAGCTAAGGATTCTGACCATACAAAAGTCACCATCGCTTGCTCTGTTACTGCAACGTCCCTAAACATGAACATAATTCGACAAAGTATATCAACAATCCCGTCTCTCCTTCAGCAGAACATCACAGGCCATGTGACCTGCGTCGAGTCTGGGGCAGGGATTCTCTGCTTCTCACTGGATAGTCTCTTTATGGACTTCGATAACGAGGTGTAGAAAACGGGATGCGGCAGAGATGGGTGTCATTGTCAACAGTCCTGTCACTACTTGCACACCCTTCGTAGTAATGGCGAATCGTCTCGACTTTGCAGAACCATGCTGGGTGTGCGAGAGTTGCTGCATACCATCTCGTGTGGGCCCAGATTGCCTCTCACCCTCTCGCTGGTCACATCGTCAGTTTTTGGCCTTCAGACTGTACTTAAGCTTATTTTCCTCCCCCACCTCCGGCGAGATACATACTGTAGGCTGTAATACAGAAAACAAGGCCCACTTGCTGCTCCACTTCTGACCTATTTCTCTGTCTTTCTGCCTATTGAAGCCTAGTCATGGTGTTACGCATTCTTATGGAAGGTGAAGAATGCGTAACACCATGACCAGGCTTAAATAAGTAAGGTATGCCATTATGGAAGGAGAAGAGCGGATAGGTTGATCTTGTTGTTCCCACCATAAGCTGCAGACAGAGTAAAACTGCTAGATTTAGAATAGCTGGCTTAGTCTGATAGGCAAATACCGCCCCGCGGGTCGGACATAGAGTCATGGCATATAACTCTCCTGGTGCAGTTAGGACAGTTGTTTAACTGTCTACTGCGCTCATTTGGACGCTGTACGTCGTGTGACCAGTATAAACCGGCCGATCAACAAACGTATTGTTGCGTTCTGTCATATTTGGTTTTCTGAAGCGAGCATTGACACATGACTCTTGTATTAGAGTTAGAACAGGCCGCTATCACAAGGAGCTCCAGAAAGATTTCTGGTCTAAGCCAAATTTGTCTTCGAGCAACCTTGGTAGAGCGATATATACTTCTGGTTCGATATCACATCTCGCCTCTGGGTCAGGCCACATCCTCATTAGTATATAGTTGCCTCTCCTGAGCAGTCTGCATTCATTGATAATCTGCACAGATTTGGCTTTCAATAACTCGGCAATGTTCTTCCGTACTTGCACAAGACAGAATCTTGATTACTGAATAAGTTATGTCTGTGACGAGAACATACAGGTTGGCAAACCTCGAGACCCTTCCCTACCTGCTTCTTGGCTGACATTACACGATAAATAAGCCTAAGTGCGTTCGCAGTTGGAGCCATCGTTGGCGGTACATCTGCATACCGATACACTATGGCGAAATATAGGGTGCCGCAGAATATCAATCTCATTGTGAGTATTTACCACTGTCTCGTAATTAGCAGCGGTGTGTCATGCCAGCTGGAACGCTACCAGCTGTTTGTTGCGCAGGACAAGCTGACTATAGTCGTAGATGCTCCAGAAGCGACTGCTACTTCTTTCTGGGCGTGTTGCAGAACTGGAGAGACGAAGTATAAGAAAATCTTAATTGGAATGGAAACGTAACTTTCGATCCTTCTTGTAGCATTCTGTGCGGAAATCAGAATATAGGATTCAGCTGGCAACTGGAACCCCATGCATACTCGAATAGCACTCCTATCGATCAATTTTGTGAGTAACACGTACAAATTGTCTATACTGATTTCCCGCAATAAAGCAACTATGATACATGAAGAGAAAATAGCAGTAGTACATCCATATGAGCGTATTGATCATCAATCCTTCTTATGCCTGTCGTCCACATCCCTGTTGTGAGTCCTTACATCTTCGGAATCATACTCCTTACCCAGCTCGCCGCTCTCTGGGTTCGGTCCCTCCCTGTATTCCTTGAGGCTGTGATACTCTTTTCCCTTCGAGTCCACAACTACTGGTCGAGTCGACTTTGACTGTTTCTCTGGTGGCGGTTGCGGAAATTGTGCATCATTCTTTGTTGTCTCTTGCTCTGGTATATTTCGCATTTGTCCAGTCCGGAACCCTCTCGGCCATGTATTACTCTGCGGCGTCTGCACGCCGATTCTGTGGGAATTCTGAGGAAGAGCCAGTATAGCGTAGGGACGGGGGCAGCTTCTCAAGGAGACAAACCGCACCCGACCTTTTGGAGATATTGCACGAGACAGGCCGATTTTCGGCATATTGACAGCTGCCGTTTGAGATGGTCAGGTAAACTCCTGGATTCTATCCTAAAGCTGGCATATCGCCAGGGTATATGTATATGATATGTATATGTGGGCCCATTGTTTGGCTGGGGGTGGCAAGTTCCGGGTTCGGGTGACGTAACTATTGGCAGCCCTACCAGGGCACCGAGCTGATATTCTTCCTTTGAATCTTGGTTAGGATGCTGAAGTTTGGAAGCAAGTCCAGTCTGTGGATTCGGAGAATATGTACCAGAGAACACTAGAAGGCTATGGGAAAGGGCTGGGACCGGTCCATGCATCCATCTTCTGACAGTAAACAACGCAGTGTTCAGCCTCAGTGTTAGATCCAACATCAACTTCTGCTCCCATCAGGGCTTTGACGATTTCAATATACCAATTCTGACAGCTAACGAGTGGTGTCTGGCTTGGATATCCGCCTCCCTCTTCACCGTCATAAATCAGCAAAAGAACGCGGTCAAATCCGATCTTCTGTCATTGCTCGTCTTTTTCTGGAAAGAGGGTATGATGTGATAACCTCTACTTCTGATATAAAGTCTATCGCTTTGTATACACCCCAGTGCTCACAGCATGGTACCCCTTCCTGCCTACCTTCGCCGTCAATTCACTCCTCCATTCTCCACCCATTGCCAACCTCTCCACGGTCTTCTCAAATGTATACTGTGGCTCCCATCCCAGCTCCCTCATCGCCTTGCTAGAATCATACACCCGATCAATCCTCGGAAGATGCTTCCACCCTTTCTGCTCAAACACAGCCCCTAATCCCGGACACATCTCGTTAAACACCTCTTCCGGGTTCCGGTTAAGCCTGTCGAGCGTGTTCGCATCATTCCTGAAGAGCGGCGGCGCGCTGATGATGTACTTCCCCCAGCGAATATCCCTCGCTTTCGTCATCGCGCAGACCGACGCCCGCACAATATCCTCAATATCGCATCTGCGATACGCAAGCTCCAAAACCTTCAAGTTCTCATCGCCCATGGCCGCGCGGCGTCCCTCGTCGTCATCCTCCTCGGGGAAAAAGCGGCTCGTACGGAGAACCAGCACCGGCATGCCACTCTGCTTCTGGATCAGGGCGCAGAGATCCTCCGCTGCGACTTTTGTCACGCCGTAAATGTTTTTGGGCTCAGGGACGACAGTTTCGTCGATCCATGCGGCGGGGAATCCCGGCTTGGGACTTAGTGCCATGCCGAATGTGCTGGTCGTGCTGAAGAAGACGAAGCTCTCGATCCGGTGGCTGTATTTGGCTGATTCTTCGAGGAGGACTAGCGTTCCGAGAATATTTGTTGAGACGAAGTCCTCGTTTTTATGGCTGCAGATGTGCGGCTTGTGCAATGTTGCAGGGTGGAGGACATGCTTGATGGGTTGGGACTTGAAGATGGAGGCGATGAAAGCTCGATCCGTAATCGATCCTACACTTGTGGTGGTGGAGGAAGGCAGGATATCAATGCCAAAAGGAGTGAAGCCGAGCGAAGGAAGGGACAGCATGAGAGCAGTGCCGAGGTGGCCTGCTGAACCGGTGACAAGCACATCATATGAAGACATTGATCCCGTAATGCGTCGGGCTGGGATACGTATATACAAGTCTCCTCCAAATGGTCTCTACAGGCGCAGAGTCAGTAAGTTGCAGGAAGTAACCCGATTGAAATTTTGTCCAGGATTTTATTCTTCATAATCATGTGATTGACTATATACAAGAACCGAGTTTAACCTACCGTTCCATAATATTGAATATCTGTGACTCATACTTGCTGTCGCTTCGGCTCCTCAGAATCGCTTATTAATCATCCATGCTGAGACAAAACTTCGTATTAATAACCTTACCAAACGTCGTAGGAAGAGTCTGGCCCTCCTTGTGAACTTTAGCTATCGGCCCTATATCGTCTGTATGATTCTGTATGAATTGGGCTGGGAACAATCTAGGTCACGTCACTTACCGTCTCTGACACCTTTGGCGCTGTTCAAGATGGGACACAACACATTACGTAAATTGTCGGAACCACTCCTTGACTAGCAGTAGTAGAGTTCGATATGTAAATGGTAGCAAAAGAGGGAAGCTGGTTAATTATATGAACCAGAATCGCTGCAAATTTGCGATGAGAGGTTCATAAATAGCGCAAAGAGAGGGCTTCTACACAAATATTTTTATCAAGTGACTCTTTGACATTAACTGAGAGTTTATGTTATTTAAGCTCCGGTTGAGAAGCCGGAAATGAATCTTATTTAGACATGTCACATATGTGTCTTCAGAGGAGCTGTTTCCCTAACAATGGCAGTGTGATGTATAGCTTGCGTGGTGTGCAATAGACTTCAGGAGAAAGATTAAGACGACAAACACACATATCCCTTTCGACCGTAACATACACACCATGAGGATTAGGATTCCTGCCAATTGCCAGTTCAAAGATCATCTTCTTAATTGAGGACAACCACGCGTGGTTTTCTGCGAGACATCTCAGCGAGACTTTTGAGCATCGTCTGAAAGAATGAGATCGACTTCTTGATCGAGGACATCGAGAAAATGCTCAGGAGGGAACACCGGCTTCCAGCCAATTTTGAGGCCATTTCTTGCTTCCAAAAGACATCTGCGCGAAGACACGTTACTCTTGTTGCCCTTGGACCTGAGAAAGGGATTCACATACTCGCCACCAATTTGGACCGCGACCATTTCTTTCGGTGAGTCAAGCGCAGTAGCCATATCACCTAGAATGTCTTCGTCGACCGGATGAACAGCACTATCCTCGAGGAGACCTCTTTTGAAAAGAGCAGTGGCAATGGATGCGTAAACGTCTTTCCATGCAACCCGCCCACTTGACGGGAGGTAGTAACCATTTCGACCGTGGGGGATCTCCTCGGATGACAGTATCTTCCGCAGTATCTCGACATACAACATGGTGTTGTCAAGCAAATGGCAGACCGGCCAAGCCTGTCACCGGGTGATTAGATCTGGATGTCATTGCGTGGGAGACTACTCACCCAGTCGTCTCTTTCATTCAGATTGTACACTCTCCCAGTTGCTTTGGCTGCTCTCACGATAGCAGCTGTTTGGATCGACAACTTGTTCCCGAATCCTTCTCCTTTACCATCTGTGCTGATGGTCAGTTTCTGGCTCTGCATGGTAAGCGCAATAACTTACAAACCACGCAGGGGGAGAATATGTAACTTTTCACACCGAGAGATTCGCTCAGCTCTATGATCCGATTGTTTGTTTCCACGCCCTAAGACGCGATGAGACCGAGAAACAGTTGATAACCTGTGTGACTCACCTTCTGCATCATCGGGAGCGAGGACCGCTGAGACTTCTGAATCTCGTATAAGTTGGGGTCCTCGTCGAAAAGAAGACGATCAATCGGAGCTCCAGCATGGTTAGAAAACGCCTTCGCTCCACTGGTCTAGATCTCGCGAGAGAAGTCAGCATCTGGAAATACAAGTACGCAAGGAGGAGGACTTGCATGAAGAAAATGCACATCCTGTCCAGTTGTCTTGCCCAGTTCCGCCAACGCCTTGATAAAGGACTCTTGAGTACTCGAGCTGATTGCGTCGACGAGAAAGAAGACAACATTTATTCTGTTTTGCAAGATGGCGTTGCGCACGCTGGTTTCGTCCTGCATATCAAACTGCAGGGGTTCGGCGGAGTACTGCTTCACGGCCTCGGCCTGGGCGGAGGTTCTCACGGATGCAAACAGTTTGTGGTATTTGGGGAGGTCTGCGCTTTTTAACTGGTTCAAAAGTGTGCCTCCCAGGTAGCCTGAGCCACCGGTGATAAGGATGTTATATTCCATGACGGGAGATAATTGACGGACTTATAAGCACAGATGACACGTGGACAGGTGGTGGCTCGAAGATATCTCACAAAGTGAGGAATACGTGAGTACCCATGAGGTGAACTTATATTCTCAACGATAGAACCCGAGTAATCACTGACAAAGGAGAGTCGAGGATTGGTAAAGATTGATAATCGATGCGAGTAGCATCGGAGACTTTCTATTCTTCCGCTTTTGTCAGTGCCGGCGCTATACCCGACCGACGAATAATTAGAGTCACCATTACCATCACTGATATTCAACTGGGGCAATTCCACTTGTCATTGCGCTGAAAACATGGACCCCCGTTATCGAGACCTAAGCGGCTATGCTGGTGTTATGCTCAAGAAGAAAGGGACCGGTGATCTGGGTGGACACCGATGTCTAGGTCTGCCACCCGACTTGATATGCATTACTCGAAAGTAGATATATGGGATGACCTTCAACTCTCCTCCTGAGCCCCTTTCCCTCCAGTTTGCTTCTTGCTAAAATCGCTGATTCTAGCATCGAACTCCCACGCCTCGCCCAACCCAACCTGGTCGAAGAAATCTTTGATCGTCTGTCCCTCGCACGCTTCAAGGTCGGTTCCCGTGGCTTTCAGAGCAGCGTACGACCGTTGCATAGCCAGCATAGCAGGAATAAATCCGGTACACGGGTAGATCGCTGCCCGAAAGCCCAGCCGATTGCACTCTGATATCTTCAAGTTGGGAGTGAGACCCTGCGTGTCATCTGTCAGCACATTTGCTATGTATTCTCATTCGAGATATTCTCACATTTGGAAGAACATTGATCAGAACGGGTACATCTCCCATCTCCTTGACCAGAGCCCGACACTCGTCCTCAGTGCGCGGGGATTCCATAAAGACCATATCGGCCCCAGCAGCTACAGCAGCCTTGAGCCGCTTGATCCCTTCATGGAAGGCCTCAGACCCGGCATTTGGACCGCCAAACTTCTTAGCTTGCCGCGCATCGGTCCGCGCGATGATGACAAAGTCCGGATCCTGGCGTGCCTCGACCGCGCTGCGGACGCGCTCGATGAAGACTTCCAGGTCCACGACGTCTTTGCCTTGGAGCTGGCCACACCGCTTGGGGAAGACCTGATGTGATTGCAGTCAATACGGGCGACGTACACGAGATTGTGGGACCTGTCATACCTGGTCTTCAATGTGGAGGCCCGCGATTCCCGCGTGCTCGTACAGTCGCACGGTGCGAGAAATGTTCAGCGGTCCGCCGAAACCGGTGTCCGCATCGGCGATGATAGGTAGCTCTGTATGCAGCGCGACCATGCGCCCCAGCTGGAAGAACTCCGTCTGGGTCATGACAGAGAGGTCGGGTTCGCCGCAGTACGAGCCCGTCGCTCCGCTGCCGGCCAGGTAGAGAAAGTCGAACCCGATCTGGCTTGCAACGCGTGTCGAGATCCCATCGAAGACCCCGGGTCCGATGAGGCATTTCCCTGCTATCCGCGTTAGGGCATTCGGCAAGAGACGGCGTGAACATACCTTGCTTCAAGGCTTCCCGTAAACGCCTTGTTGGTCTATTATTTTGTATGCTACTCATCCTGCTCGAGTGTACGAGAGCATACAATGGCCTGGAAGAGAGTAATCAATGGTACAGAGGCATTCACCCCGCAGAGGGGAACAGACAAGGGATGAAGTCATCGTGACGGAGAAACGGACACGTCAGTATACTTGGTTGATTGTTTTTAGTTTCAAACAAGGATTGACTCTTCTTGGTTGCGCCGAAGGGTTTCAATATAGATTAATGGTTGATAAATGATATCAATTTCTCTTTCAACCGGATCCGTAGCTTACCATAGCCGCCGTACATGGCCATGGCCGCGGCGCAACAATACACTGAAAGACACAAGGACGCCTTTCCCAGGCAGCCATAACGTAGGAAATGCCTACTAGTTATCGAATCCAAACGTCGTCCCCCACGGCTGATATCCTTCTTCAAGGAACAAATCCTGCAGTGCCCGTCTGCGGATCCCCACATTCCCTCCGTCAAAAATAGGCAGAACGAGCGCAGTAGCGAGGAGGGAGGCAAATGGCGTTTCAAGGTTATACGCCGACCTTCAAGCAGCGTCAGTTCGTGCAGACAAGATTGAGATTGAATTACGTACACCCCCACCGCATTGATCGCGTCTAGACACGACTGCACCGCTGCATCGGAGCAATGTACCTTGGCCAGCAGTGCGTGCTCCCGTCTCTGTGCATGCTCGCCAGGACCAGCTGCCAAGCAGTGCGCGGCTTTCCATGTCAGGTACCGCGATGTCTCTGTCCGCATTTTGATGTTGATCAGGAGGTCCGCGACGGACTGACGTTGGGCGATGGGGACAGTGCCACCGCGTGGGTCACGAGAGAAGGCCAGGGCCGCATCGAACACGGCTCGTTGGATCCCGACACCCATTGCTCCTACGAGCATTGCTGTGGATGTCAGCTGGCTCTCTCCTGGGGTGGATAATACCAACCCGAGATCTCAAAGGAGTGTAGCACGATGGGAGCACCGGTACCTGGCGCGCAGAGGACGTTTTCGACTGGAACCCGGAGGTTTGTATACTGTCTCTTCAGCGTCATTCGTAAAGTAGAGGAAAGGACCAAACCCCTACCTTGATATGCGGTCCTGAGGTAGCTTTGTGTCCCGCCGTCTCAACATGTTTAAGGACCTGGAAGCAGTCCGGTCCGTTTCTCTGGATATCATCCCGGGTAACCAGCAGAATCATGATGAGGTCCTGGGGACAGGAAGCCTGCGCAACCTCGTCCTCATCAACGCATCGACACACCACGCAGCTCAGATCGGCGCCTCGAAAGTCCCAGCCTGCGGAGTTGGTCGCCCATATCTTTTCACCATTCAGAACCCATTCATCTCCCTCCCGGCGTGCTGTTGTTTGCAAACCAGGCGCTCCAGGTTCCAGCCAATTTGCCTAAGACGGTGGTCAGCATAATCATACCAGAACCTGAAAGAAGGGCGGAAAGCATACCACGCCGGCAGGCTCCGAAAACACCAACGAAGCAAGCGGTGCCCCTCGCTTGCAAGGAAGGGATCAAGGAATTTCTGAATTGAAGGCCGATAAGCCAGCGCGACAGGAGTCAAGCCTAGTCCGGTCCCAAAAATGGTTAATGAAGCGGATGCTTCGACGGCGTAAAACTCCTCTACTAGGATAGCAGCCTCGACTAGATTAGTACTGCTGCCCCCGATCTGGGCCGGCACCTGGGCCTTGATGAGATTAGCCTTGACTGCGGCCGCATAGATGGGCCGGAGGCTTTGAAATCGCTCTTCGGGTGTTGCGAGATCGGAATATATTGCTTGAGCGCCGGCTAAGTTGGCAGCAGCAAAGCTGCGTGCTGCCGCTCTTGTTTGCTGTTCGGAGCTGGAGAGGGTGAAGTCGACCATGTTGCCGTACGACGTCTAATGTAATCGTCTCCTGTTCGAAAAACGGAAAGCTCATGCCACGATAGATGCTTATTTATGTTGTATTCAACTAGACCACCCCCGCCAACGCTGTCTGATATCTACCCCTCTTGCACTACCAAGCCGCATGCAGCATTTTTCAAGATCACGTCAGATTTTAGCTCATAGTTTAACTGCATAAACATTCATTCAAGGGTGAGTTAATAGGGAACTCGTCCAAGTGCTGACTGAGAAACGCCTCTTATTCTCAATCATACCCTCAACAGGTTCACTCATGAAATATGCAGTCGCCTCCCAGGCAAAGACACCATTTACTCAGGCTTTTCCTCAGTCCACGGGATGCTGTAAAGTGTGCAATAATAAGGAGTTAAACCAAGCCGAGACCAGCTGCCGAGATGGAAATGATTTCCCTTTCCGACTAGTGACTGTTTCTGTCGTTTCATGTCCAGAGCGGCAACGAGGTACTCTCCTAGTCCTGCCAGTGGAGCCCAAAATATCCTGCATCTTTCTGTAAGATGGTTTGGGATTCAGATGTAGTGGTACAACTACATGGCACATGTCGAACCGAAATAGAAACTCCCACCTATATACTATTAATACTATTACTGCCCCGCCATCGATCATGTCAACCACACAAGCGTACGAGGTAGCACACAACTGCTTTTTCGTAGCTCAACCTCTTGATTTTATTGCATAGCGGATTTATAATTTGAGTATCTTAGTATTCGAATTCTTCGAGGAGATGAACTCCCGTTATTGACATGCGTGAACTGGTCGGATTGCCGGCCCCAACACCGATTGGATTTCCCCGCACCGCATCAAAGATACTATCGCTAACTATCCGCCTTGGTGTCACGGTGGCTGACTGAAAATAGCACTAAAAGAGTATTCGAACACCTGAACTAACCACTCTGAACTCACTGAATGATCGAGGATGGGCTAGACAAAGACTGGATGAGGGGACAGATCTTGCTGACCCGCGTACTTAAGGCTCATCTTCCTGCCAGTGAATACTATCTCTCTTCCCAGTCCATTCTTCCCCTCCATCAACGCATCTAAGCATCATCATCATGTCTTTGGACTTTACGGTATTCATTCTCACCCTTCTGTTACCGTCTACTAACAAGTCCAGACCTTCCACAATGTGATCAACAATGAGTTGACCACCACCTCGCAAACCCGTCACGGCATCAACCCTGCCAACCGGCAACCCAACCCCGAGGTCCCCGTTTCCACACAAGAAGACCTCGATCGAGCCGTTGATGCCGCTCGCAAAGCGTTCCGCACCTGGTCCAAGACCTCGTTCGACGAGCGGCGCACCGCCCTCAACGCCTTTGCCGACAAGATCGAAGCAAACAAGGAAGCATTGGCTCGGCTCATGACGCAGGAACAAGGCAAGCCGCTGAGCCAGTCCACCGTCGAGGTCGGAATGGCCGTGCAGTGGGCTCGAACCATCCCCACCATTGAGATCCCCGAAACCGTCATCGAAGACACGGACGAACACAAGATCATCCAGCGGTACACCCCCATCGGCGTCTGCGGGGCCATCGTGCCGTGGAACTTCCCCATCCTGCTGGCCGTCGGCAAGATCGTCCCCGCCGTGTACACAGGGAACGCCGTGATCGTCAAACCCTCCCCGTTTACGCCGTACTGCGGCCTGAAGCTCGCCGAGCTGGCGGCGCAGTGCTTCCCGCCCGGTGTGGTCCAGGCATTGAGTGGGGGCGATGACCTCGGCCCCATGATCACGGAGCACCCGGGCATCGACAAGATCAGTTTCACTGGCTCAACGCTCACGGGGAAGCGCGTCATGGCGAGTTGTGCCAAGTCCCTCAAGCGGGTGACGCTGGAGCTGGGCGGGAACGACCCGGCTATCGTCTGCGACGATGTCAATATCGATGCGGTCATTCCAAAGGTATGTACCATTTGTTTGTAGCTGATGACGCACTCCTGATGTTAGCAGATCGGCATCCTCTCCTTCCTCTGCTCGAGCCAGATCTGCATGATGGTTAAGCGGCTGTACGTCCACGAGAAGATCTACGACGAGTTCCGGGAGAAGCTCGTGGCGTTTGTGGGATCGCTCAAGGTCGGCGACGGCACTGAGCCTGACGTCTTCTTCGGCCCCGTGCAGAATAGCATGCAGTACGACAAGGCCAAAGATCTTTGGCAGAGCCTGTCCACTGAAGGTCTCAAGACCGCCCTCGGCGGAACCATCCAGGACTCGGCGGGCTACTTCATCCCCCCGACCATCGTCGACAACCCTCCCGAGTCGGCCCGGGTCGTGCAGGAAGAACCGTTTGCACCGATCCTGCCGATGCTCAAGTGGTCGGACGAGGACGATGTCATTGCGCGGGCGAATGGCACCGACACGGGGCTGGGGGCATCAGTATGGAGCAAGGATATGACGCGAGCACGTCGCATGGCCGATCAGCTTGAGTCGGGGAGCGTCTGGATCAACTCGCACTTTGATGTGTCGCCCAAGGCGCCGTTCGGAGGACACAAGACCAGCGGGATTGGCACGGAATGGGGCCTAAACGGGTTGACGGCGTATTGTAACTCCCAGACCCTGTGGGTGAAGCCAAGTCTTTAGCCTTATGCAATTCATATCCTTCGTAATGCAACATAATCAATTTCATAGATTCATAAACGAACCTACTTCACCGCCCAGCGAGCATGCACACGCTCCATCGAGCCAGCCAGAGTTACCCAGCTCCCCCGTTCCGAACCAGTATCCGCCCATCCACGACCACGACATCTACGTCCCTGCCCCTCGCCGTGTAGACCGCCGCGCTGACAGGGTTGAACCTTCGTCGGGAGGGGTCGACGTGATGATGGTTGCGTGGGTGTACAGTATGTTGAGACAGCTTGGTAGTCACTGAACTTGAAGGCGACTCTGGCAGTATATTGACCGTATAAATCTCTTATTCCTCTCTACCCCTCTGTAAGACACGGTGATGAGCGGAAGGCGGGTGAGACTGATCCTTGATCTCAATTAAGCGAGTCATGTATAATGCTACCTACTTCTTCACATAATTCTGATGCCAGGTATAATCCCGATTCTCCAACAAAAACCCCCGAATCGCCTCTCGCGGCGTGGTTGGCTCCCGGCCCAGCACCTCCTTCATCAATGGATCAGTGTGGCTGATTTCCCCCTGCGCAACACTCTCGTACCAGCTCACCAGCGCCTGGAAGAACTCGGCGGGCTTGCCTCCCTGGTCGTTCGCTGCGCTCAAACGCACATACTCCTCCGGAGAGACGATCTGGAATCGGACGTTCCACCCTGTCGTCTCGTTGATCACGTCCACTGCCTCGGCGAAACTGATGGTCTCCCCTGCTGCCAGGAGGACGATCTCGTTCTCGTGACCACCCTGGAGCATCAGTCGGGCGTTTGCTTCCCCGAGCTCTTTTCGCAGAGTGAAAGCGCAGCGTCCGTCGGCGGGGAGGGACACGGTGGTGGTGTCGGGATACCAGTTGAGGAACAGCGGGAATGCATCGGCGTAGACTCCCTCGCGGATGGAGGTGAATGTGATTCCCGACCTGGACTGGTATCAGTGAACGGTACATTTGGAACATCAGAGGTTGTATCTTACTCTCTGAGTAAATCTTCCGTCTGGAGATGCGCCTGCTGAATCGCCGCTTTGGAATCGGACTTCAATCCTCCGAACGCGAGCGACGTATACCACACCTAGCCAGTCAGCAAGGCCTGCAAAGATAAAAAATGAAAGACAGAGGGAATGTACATGTTTGACGCCCGCTCTCTTGGCAGCCTCCACGAAATTCCGATGCTGCTTGATGCGTCTCTCATTGTCAAAGACATTGGTACTGACGAAGAAGAGATTCTCGACGCCCGGGAAGGCTGCGTCGAGCGTGCGCGGGTCATCGTAGTCTACATGACGAAAGGCAATTCCTCGCTCTTCGAACTGTTTTCGATTCGATTCCCTCGACGAGGCGGCCGCGTATTCTGAGGAGGGACGGTTGGCTGCGAAGTAGGCGAGGACTTCTTTGCCGAGGCCGCCAGTGGCTCCGGTGATGAGATATTTGAGGCTCATGGTTGTTCTTATTCTGTTGATTGGCGTAGGTAAAGGTTTACTCGTTGTCTGATGTGAGCATAGTTTTATAACTAGTTGTTGAGAGAGATGATTTATAATCAACTTGGGGTCGAATGCAACATGGTGATTCGTAAGCAGCAGGGTGGTTTAGATCTTGAAGCCAATGACGATGCACGATGGGCCAACTGCCGCCATAGAATCGCATCGAATGGCAGCGAGAAGGTCTTCAACAATAATGACATTTTACGTAAATGATCGATGGCTGTATTCTCCCGTTGATGACACGGTTGACACCAAATCTAACCAAACATGTGATGATGTGGACCCCAGCATCACTAGTGCACGAAACTCGAAAGCCAGAGGACAGCATCCTCACAACTCCTCTTTCAAATCAGATCTCCTCGTCAGAGACGAGCTCCATCCCACGTACTTCCCGAATGGTATTCATCAACCGGAACACATTCTTATTCAACAACCGGATCGCCTTTAGCAGCTCGCCTCTCTCTTCTCCTGACGATCCAGACCCAGCGTTTTCCTTGGTAGGTGCTTCCTCCTCATTCTCGCGCTCATAAGCCTCCAGAGCATTCTTAATCTCAGCACATGTTCTCCGCCGCGCACGACCAGTGAGTTTCTGCGCCGCGGTGAGCGGACCGTAAAAGTGATTCGGAAGCGCGCTGCACTCCGCGCCAGCTCGGCTGCAGGAACGACACTTTCCGAGGGCAGCGTCGCGGTGGCAGATGGTCGAGTTGTCCTCGGTCCATTTCTTGACGCACCGGAGACAGGGCGAGTAGGTTGCAATTACGGACCCGGTGGAGATCAGAGGGGGAAAAGTAGGAGCGGCTCGGCGAGCAGCTGGGGCTGGGACCGGGACCGGGGCGGGAGCGGCGGAACGGGTGGTTCTCGGAAGAGCTGGAGATGGGGGTGACTGGGGATCTGGCTGAGCTGTTCTCATGTCAGAATGATTCAAATCTGCCTGGTAGAGGTACTTACCACAATGGGCTCATCCGAGTCGCTGTTTTCGGGCTTTGTGCGCCGGGTTTTCTTCCTGGCTGATCCTGCGGGACCACTAACCGCTGCGCGTCTCTTCTTGGACTGGTCCGTCATGTTGGTTTAAAGCTTGTATAAAAGCTTCTAGAGAGAGAGCAGGCGGGGAGAAGAGAAATATTTAGCAAGTCAGAGAGTCTTCGACGAGGAATTCTTACTATTTATGCGGCCGTTGCAAAGACTGTCACTTCTCTATTCACGAATGGAAGCAACTATTGTCGAATGCCTTAAAATCAAACATCATTTGCTCTTCGATTTGGTGTCGTGATTCTTTTCGCTATTGAGCTCGATTCAACAATAGGATCCGTGAGCCGTCGTATTGACAACTCTGGCGGCATTTCGACGGAACAAAGAAAACCACCGCGTAAAGCGTACAAAGAGCCGTTGAACGCTGGACAAACTCAGATATCCTTTAACATGTCGTGGGATTGATCCTAAATTAGATGCCTCATTCATCGCGTGAAGGCTGCTAAAGCTTCAGGCCTATTTCTAATTGTTGAACTATTACATACACACATGTGCTCCTGGGTATCTTCATTTCATCCCCTAACCGACCCTTCCACCTAGTTTCAAGGGTCGGTTATAGGCTGGAGAATGAATATTGAGAACATTCTAATGAGGCGACTGGCTAAGGTGGAATAACTATAGCCCGAACCACCCTGTATGTATATAATGAGTACAGTTGTCGCTGCACACCTGTTTCCTTTTATCCCCTCCCGCCTTCCTATCACTCCTTATCCACAGATGTCCCCTTGTACGATATAATGTACTTTATTCCCGGTCTAAATCAGATCACTCTGGACAGGGACCGTCAGTCTCGTCGAATTCTTGCTGATGTCCGTGAACGGCGACAAGAAACATGGGGTTGGGTAGTCTATCGCACCACATATAAATCAGACCCAGCATTTGGCAAAGCGATTGACATTATCAACTCCTGGCTCAAGCGAGAAGTCTACCGAGACATGCACACCATGGGTCTCCAAGATGCAGACCCCACACCGAACAATGAGCTATGGGCATGCCACCGGTTAACCATTATGGAGGATCCAGAACGACTCAATGGGGCTTCAATCAGGGATGTCCGTTCGCATTTTGAATCTTGGGTAGAAGGACAAGGTATGCGGGATCGGTGGAATAAATACCGTGTTTGTATGATGATTGATGATGAGGTTCTTGACTTGCTGGTGAACGAGGTGCCCTTAGCAGAAGAGCATAAGGAAATGCATGGCATGCGCTGTGTGGAGGAGATCAACACATAGTATGTTAAGGTTATTGAGGCGTTTCCGGAAGCAGATGAAGGCGATGAAGACTATGAAGGATGGATGAAATGCTCACTCTACACAATGGTGAGACTATGGTCGTCTATGGTTGATGCGACGAATATGGTGAACTTCTGGTATAGAATAGAGGATGGAGATAATGGAGTTTATTCAGCATGACCTTCAGCACGGTTTTTGATATGGCATCGATCTCTTAGCTCACCTTCACTTACCCACCCTCACCCTGTGATTTAGCAGCTCTGCCCCTAAAGCAGTAAGTCTCCAAGGGCATATGCTTTTAGCCGCATTGATAATACTGGCTTAACTATGGTTGAGTGGACGGGAAGCTCTATTTCCCACATTGCTATGGGCGTATGTGTTAGTTTTGTCTAATCAGTGTGTATTACTAGATCTCTTATGTAGCCACTCTGAGGGCACTCTCCGTAGGGCGAGTTCCATGGAAAGGCTGGATGATGCTGATCATATACATTTAGACAAGAACGCAGCAAACTGTCAAAGACTAGAAGGAACCAAATTAAAGATCCCAAAAACTCAATGCCAGACTACTCAGTAGAATCTACTATGCCGATGATCCACGAAAGGATGGTCAGAAACAAGTGGACATGCCGGTGGGATGCATTCTGCAGGGCAATCAACACCATTAATTCCTGGATTAAACGAGAAGTCTAGGAAGACCTCCGCTACTCTGGTGTCCAAGACCCAGATCCCACACTTAATGATGAGCTATGGGCTTGTCACCGCCTGACTATTATGGAAGATCCACAGACATTTGACGGCGTGACGATCGAGGACGTTCGTTCCCATTTTGAATCATGGGTGGAAGGGCAAGGGCAGCAAGACAGGTGGAACAAATATCGTGTTTGCATGGTGATTGATGAGGAGATTGTTCAGCTACTTAATGAGGTGCCGTCAGCTGAGGAGCATGCAGAAATGCACGGCTTATATTGTGTGAAGGAAAGCAAGGAGTGGTATGTCAAGGTTGTTAAGGCATTCCCGGATCCAGATGAAACAGAAGACATGGAAGAATATGAAGGGTGGATGAATTGTTTAATCTATGCTCTGTTAAGGCTATGGATTTCCATGGATGATGCAATAAATATGATTGATTTATTCTCTAACACAGAGGATGGGGCTTTTTCATCTTGATATAGCCCATGTAGCCCCTGTATGATAACAGATTGAGCATAGGCTGAACTTGGCGACTGAATACTCAGGGACGCATCGACCAAAACTCCTCTGCTACTTATGAAACGCCATTGCAGCTGATCACATCGTAGTCCTCTACACAGAACAATGCACTGCCGCGGGCGCTGCGAACTGCGATCTTCTCCGGAACAGTTCCAGCATGCCTTTCTCATTTTCGCGAGGTACCACCGACATACAAAGACTGAACGCTTGGGAGAAGAACAAACCTGAAGAGGAGCTTGCTCGGTTGAAATCATGCCAAAGACAACCTGACGACCCAACCACAGAGCATCGCTGAGACAGCTTCATGATACGGCGCGTTCCTCCTTGGAGCGCCATTCTACTAGTTACTAAAGCCTCTTTAATATAGAAGTTTATGATGGGTAGCTAGCCAGAGCTATAGAAATATGAAGGTAATGATTATAGTTAGCTTATAACTTTCTAGGAGGTTATTACATAATTCATATAGTATAAGAAGCCTAGTATCACCAGCACAAGGCCTATTTAATTATAGTATTACTATACATCATGTCCGGATTCGTTGCTAGTTGTCGGAGTGGTTTTCGTGCAGCTTGTAAACCAGGGCCATTCGAGGTCGCTGATCGGTTTGCCGTAGGTTCTCCAAGCTCGAGACCTTCGGGTTCCATGGTGGATGCGGCCTGATTGATCTTGTTGGTTGAACCTGTAGCCGGTTACGTTTGATATATGCGTAGCTGCGTTTTGATGTCTCGTCTGATGCTGAGGCCGTTGTTGTCCAGGAGAACTGAATCCGCCATTTACCAGCAGAGACTCAATCGAGTACGACATAGGTCTAATGCAGCTTTAGAAAGGTGTCCCAAGTGGCAACAGCGTAAGAGAACGTACTGTGCTATGCATATAGCAACAAATTAGAGGCAAGGCTCATTGATTTGCTCAGATCAAAGGATGGTATCTGTTGTGGTGGATGTCAATGTCCAGCAGCAGCAATCACGTGGTTATATGGGTGCCGGTACAGGCTCCGACACAATGAGTGGAATTTTCCACACCCTTTGGTCGTTGAATCAGTTTAAAAGGTCTTGGTCTTATAGCTTTCTTCGAGGTTAATTGGACTGTTCTGGGTTTGCATACTTCGTCTTACCATTTCCATCGATCCTGAAGCTATCTGGAATCCTTTTCCGCCGATCCCAGTGTCCCCCATCTGAGCTCACCTTTAATGTACATGCCAATCACTTCATGGACAGTGACTGTATAAAACTGTGGAGTTTTCAATCAATTTGGTCTTTTACTATCGACCTGCGGAGAGCCTACACTGACAAACTGCCGTACGATGCTCTCCATCGATGATGACTACATCCAGTTAGGAATTCTCTACGTACCACGGTGAACGAGATCCTCGATGAAAAATGTCTCTCTTTTATTAAATCATGCAAGACTGACGCATGGATTTCCTCTCAGAGAACTATATACAAAGTCAACTCCGGCAACCATTCTATCAATGTGGCTCATCATAAGCATAACAAAACGAACTACCTCATAAACATGTCCGCAGATACTCTCCCAACGCCATGATTGCCATGGCTTGTCCGTAGGGCATCGCAGTCAGCGGGATGTCCTTGTAGAACTGCAGGCAATCACCCATTCCCGTGCCAAAGCTGGTATTCTGGAGCTCGCCGTGCTCGTCCACAGCACTCATCACGGCCGCAATCGCTTTCTCCGCGACGGGACGATACTGCGGGCCGATGTATCGCTTGCGGACGGCTTTCAAGATACCATACGCAAACCCCGCAGTGGCGGAGGCTTCGACGTACGAGTCCGGATGGTCGAGGAGGGTATGCCAGAAACCTGTCTCGCTCTCCTGGAGCTGCTGCAGGGCCTCACACTGGGCCTCGAGCGTGTCGATAAGGTGGATGCGGATCGGATCCGTCGGCTCAAGGTCGAGCAGCTCGATGATCTCGGGGATGACAATGGTGACCCAGCTGTTGCCACGGGCCCAGCGCGCGCGGGCAAAGTTGTGCCCTCCCTCCTCGAAGGTCCAGCCGTGGAACCAGAGTCCCGTTTGGGTGTCGAAGAGGTACTTGATGTGAACGAGAAACTGTCGCTTGGCCTCGGCAATGTACTCTGGACGGTTCAGGAGCTTGCCGATCTTGGCCAGCGGCAGGACAGTCATCATCAGCGTATCGTCCCACAGCTGCTGGTAGTTCTCGGTCAGGTAGGTCGCGTGCTGCATGCCGCCGTATCGCGTGCGAGGCAGCTCGTGCATGGCCCATTCGGCCCAAGCATCCAGCCAGGGCAGGTAGGCCACATTGCCCGTCTTCTCGTAGACGTAGGCCAGCGTCAGGAAGACAGCCATGGTGTTGATGTTCTTGGTGGTGCCGCCCTCGGCGAACCGCGCAGCAAACCAATCTTCAATGATGCGCAGGAGGGACTCGTCGCCGGTCATCTCATAGTACTTCCAGATGCCGTACAGCCCGATACCATGCGTCCACTCCCATCCGTGCCAGGATTTGGTGTCAATGACGCGGCCATCCTGTAGCCGCAGCAGGAACTTTCCTGTTGCGTCTTTGATGTTGACCAGGTTGTTGATGAGCTGCTTGACGGTCTGATGGACCTCGGTCTGCGAGGGTCTGTTGGAAGCCATTCTCGTTTTATTTGTTCATGCAGCAGTGGTCAATCAGCAAGCCGTCTTTCTTTCTTTATTCAATTTCTCTAGGATAATAAAAGGCTGACTCGCTTGCATCTGGCTATAAATCCTGCGGGGTGGAACCGGCCGCTGATGATACGCGGAAGAAATGGGGGGGAATTCTCCGCGTGGGATGCAGCAGCCTTCGGGCCATCGACGCACCGAAGCCCAACGCCAAGCAGGAGCCAATTCGAATCGAGAAGCGAAGTTATTGGCCGTGTCTAAAGCGGTTACGGATAAGAACCGTTGAGTGGTTGACCATGGCCAGTGTTCTCGGGCCATTCCACCCCGCTTACCTCTCAGATCCAGTTGTCTCCAGTCATTTGTCCCATGGGGAGGCGTTGCCAAGAAAGCCGGGGAAAAGAGTCAAGCCAGCCAGGAAACCATGCGCACAGTCGAGTTGTGTTGCGACCGGGCTAATGATCTCTCGAATTGGCTGTTTGTCTAAGACTCGACCAGCCTGGGCTGCTTTCTCTTGATAAAAAGGCCAGAGCTCCCCCCCCGTGTCTTACTTCTCGGTCGGACCTCTCCCCCTGTGCTGCTGTATCTGTTTGTACCGCTCTCAAGCTTTGGTTTCTTTTCTGATTGTCATATTCCACAAGGGGTTGATTCTACCGTCATGGCAGAAAAACTTGCCTTGAGCCCGGTGACTTCCAGCTCACCAGAAGCTGGAGATGACCGGAAGCAGCCCAAGGATATCAACCATGTCGAACGGGTGTTGTCTGATGGGCTCATAAAAGATGAGGCCGACTACTCTCGGATGGACAGGGATCTCCAGGAGTATGTGGCTCGCGGACAGGTCGATGTTGATGAAGCGACCAGCAAGCGGTTGAAACGCATGATTGATCGCCGCGTGCTGATCATCATGATCTTTACGTATTTCCTCCAGGCTCTGGATAAGGGTACCCTGTCTTTTGCCTCTATCATGGGTATCCGTACCGATCTGCATTTGCAGAATGGCCAAAAGGTACTTTCTCTTCCCTTTTCTCACTAGAGTATCTTATATGAGCGACGGGATGCTAATGGCCATCGTTCTAGTACTCCTGGCTCACCACCTGTATCTACATCGCCGTCTTGGTCGTCGAATACCCGACCAACTGGATTATCCAACGTGTTCCTATTGCCAAGTACCTGGGCATCAACATTTGTCTCTGGGGTACCGTGCTGGCTCTGCATGCTGTGAGCAAGAATTTCACGCACATGGTCGTGCTGCGTACCCTGCTGGGTATCTTTGAGGCCTGCTGCCAGCCAACCTTCGTCTTGCTGTCCAGTATGTGGTACAAGAGAGATGAGCAGGCGGCGACCGTGACCTACTGGTATGTCGAACATCCAACGTTAACATGAACGCTCCTGACAACCCATCAGGTACATGATGAACGGTGGTCAGCAGATCGTCGGCGGTCTGCTCGCATACTGCTTCAGTCTGATCGGCAAGGACAAGGCCATCCACTCGTGGCAGGCCCTGTTCATCACCTACGGCGTCATCTCCGTGATATGGGGTCTCTTCGTCATCTTCTGGATGCCCGACTCGCCCATGCGCGCCAAGTGCTTCAGCGAGGAGGACAAGCACCTGATGGTCGAGCGAGTCCGCGCCAACCAGACTGGTATGCAGAACAAGAAGTTCCGCGCCTACCAGATGTGGGAGGCCTTCCGCGACCCGCAGATGTACTGCTACTGCGCCATTCAGATCTTCACCACCCTGCCGACCAGCGGTCTCGGTGCGTTCGCCAACATCATCATCAGCGGCTTCAAGTTTACCGTGCTGCAGACCCAGCTGCTGGCCATGGTGCTTGGTTTCTATATCATTATCGTCCTCCTGAGCTCCGCCTGGCTGGTCAAGAAGACCGGGCAGAACCTGCTCGTCATGCTGGCCTTTGTCATCCCGTGAGTCTAGTCTCCTTTCTCCTACTGCTAGCGTCCCATCCACTGACACCATGACCCCCAGATCCTACGTCGGAACCATCGTCCTCATGACCGTCGTGAACAAGAACATGGCCACCAAGGTCGGCCTGCTAATCAGCTACTACATCACCCTCTCCTTCTGGTCCGCCCAGACCCTCTGCCTCTCGATGGTCTCCCGCAACATCGCCGGCGCCACCAAGAAATCCACCGTCGTGGCAGCCACCTTTGTCTCCTGGGCCGTCGGCAACTCCATCGGTAAGTCCTAAATCCTCCCCTCCCCTCCCCTCCCCAAGCCACTAAAAAGCAAAACTCCAAACCTGACATGAATCTCCATCCAGGCCCCCAAGTCTTCCTTGACAGAGACGCCCCCGCTACTTCATCGCCTTCGGCGTCCACCTGGGCTGCTACGTCTGCCTAACCCTGGCCATCATCTTCCTGCGCTTCTGGCTCGTCCTCCAGAACAAGAGGAAGGCCCGTGTGCTGGAGGAGAAAGGCCTGTCCGCGGCGGATAACAACCTCACCCATGCCTTTGAGGACCGCACGGACCAGGAGAATTTGCATTTCCGGTATATCTACTAGATGTTTGCTCATGGTTATGGTTATGAAGGGTTTACTTGTGTACATGCGGGATTATCGATTGGTAATAGCACAACGTTTAATGTTCCTGTATGCGTTTCCTGTAGGGTAAATTCATTTGGACCCGCTCAACGGTACTATTCGTACATTAAACCACTCCCCCCACTTTTTTTTTTTAACGACCTGGGACTGGTCAGTGGTGTAGAGTATACATATTCTTTGCAAGGACCAGATGGAGCCTACACGGAGCCTACACTACGAACTGCTCTCCGGCGTAGTGGAGAAGGCTAGAGCCTCTTTCACAACTTCGGTAATGGAAGTTCTTCGACACACGGTCCACATGCGAGGACTTGCCATCACCCCGCACGCCTGCTTCCAATAGCAGGACTCGAGGATGGGCTGTCGAGCGAGCTGTGATCGACCGCAAGAGCACAGCCGGCGGGGCCGCCTATGCCAGGTCAGCTTGAAGGAGACCCTACAGTACGCAGCCAAGCAGGAGATATCAAGTCTGATCGCCGACAATGACAAAGTCCCAAATTGCCTCAGAGCCCATACTGTATGCGCAGGCAAAGGAACCCCCAAGCTGCTCACCAAGGAGCGGTAAGCAGGCCTCGGGAACGCATGGGTAGGAGTGCAGAGATTTGCAAACTGCACAGTCGAAAAGAGAAAGAGGAATGCCGGATTTTCAAAATTCGATGGGCGGTAGGGTAGCTATCAGGTGATCTGTGGTGTAGTTTCAGCCTGTTAAACCCCAGTCAACCAACAGTTCTAATCAAGACGAAGGGTCTCAAAGTATGAAGTTGACAGAGCTACACAGTGACCGTGGACGAAAATTATTCTATGGCCGGCTCATTGTCGGTGGGTAAATGTGCATCGAGGCCGGAACTGAACTCCGTGGGTTGGAGTTCCGAGCCCCGCTGGTTTGTTGACGGGTTGATTGTGGCAGAGATTTGCCTGCATTAGGATGCCCTGCACGATGTGTACCTCGTTCACAGTCTCATATTGCATGTCCCGTAAAGCTATGTTCCTCTGGCACTGGCTCAATGCTAGCAGGCGTATCCTCCTAGCAAGCTGCGTCTAGGACCCAATTTACCAAGCTTCGACCAATTCCTCGCCGTTGATATTCGGGACGAACTACCCAAATAGCTAGGTACTCTAGTTCCATAATGCGAGAGAATGGATACATTCTGTCTTCAGAGCGTTGTAGCTCCCTAGACGAGCTTTGCCAACACTGCGGTCGGGATATAGACAGGAGAAGAAAAGATCGGTGAGGGGCAGGAACTGTTCTTTGAGAGCTTAAGAGACAGAGCTGGAAATTAGTAATGGCCTTCTCCCTGTCTGTGTTCTTGGATCAAGTGCGATTGAACAACCCATTCTACCATCTTGTCTCCTTGTCTCCCTCCCATTGCCTTGTGGCCTTCTCCGCTCCCGCCTCAATGCGTTCCCTGGGAGCATATGCCATAATAATGGTGAGAGCTCGGCGCTATCCTCAACCGGTAAGACATCCTTGACGGCAACGATGATCAACCAGCCTGGAGACAGAAATCTGTAGCACAATCTGCGCAGGAAGCTCTAATCATCGGCATGATACTCTTTCCGCCAGAGGCAGAGGTATGCGAAAAGCTCGTCTTCAAGCATAGCTTGTGCGGCCATGTCTGCAATCAAGGGCAGATCTTGCGACCTGCATGGTGCTTCTGACGTGAATTAAGTATCATAATTATCTCACCAGTCATAATAGAAACAGATCGTAAAATGACAATACATCGCTCAACCCTTCACTAAGTAACCGCCATGTCGTTTAGTATCAACATTTGGGTATGCTTAGGAGCCGAGGACTTGTTGGTACGGAGTCAACGTCACCGAACTAGGCAAAGAACCCGAGACAAGTGGACACTTTCCCGAGTGGAGTCAGTCCCTCTCTAGATTCCGAGGCTTCCAATTGAAGTTGAAGCAGCAGAGATCCAATTTGTCCTCGCAAAGTCAAGGCGGCATCACACAAACCACTTTCCCATACAGGTCACCCAACGAAGAGGTTCGTCCTCGTATCTCCTCGGAGGTCACCTGACTCGAGCCTCTCCCTGGGAGTCCGCGTTAGTGGCAGCAGTCATGCTCTGGACATCTCGGGCGAATGGGAGATGTCTAATTCTCTGTCGACACTTCTGAACGTGGATCAAAAGTTTGCTACTGCTTTTTCGATCAATCAACAACCGCGTTTCTACAGCAAAATGACTTTTGACTCGGCCGGCTCGAGGGAACCGTGGATTGCTCACTGGCCACAATATCTGGACCTCATACGCTGGGCACCCGCCACCACGGAACCGACCTGACAACCAGAGGAATACCATACGAATGGAGGCAAATCAACGAGCATCACAATTATGACGGATGGAGAACTTCTGGATCGCGTCTTCCAGTCGCCTGGTTCATAGTGAGCCATTCGGGGTTCACTTCGACGATTCGCCGACCTCTATGTGGGCTGGCTTTTCTGCCTCAGGCGACATGAGGCATTCATCATACCGTATCGGGTTTAGTGCCAGCCCTGCCTCTCACTTCCTCCCCATAACTTTTAGGGTCTCGATGGGAAATGATCAAATCGCCTCAAGGGCGAGAAAGCTGGAAAAAAATGGCTCTCGAACCCCAGACCCCACGCGGCCCATGCGTTCGTTCCTTTTTAACTTCCTTCTCTTTCTCGTCTCCTGAACTTCTCCATTCATTCCCTTGTGCTTATTATTTATTTCCTTTCACTCACCAGCCATTGTTTTTGTTGTTTCCCATCCGCTCCTGATCGGTCCTTTTTTGGAGGAGGGGATCCCGCCGCCACCACAAAATCCCGTTATTCGGCATTTCAGAAAGCCATCCCCATAGCCAGGAAACCTAGGTTTCGCAGCGTTTATCCCTGGCGGTTCGACTGGTTGGTCAATTGAGGTCTCTTCGACTTGCAGTCTACTCCAGCATCGGTCGCCACAGGAGATGCAACTGCGAGCAGTGGTTGTTTTCGAAACAAGGACATCAGCGACTTGGTTATGACAAACGGGAGATTTGCGAGATTCGATCTGAAGAGTGTAGCTCTGGAAATACTATGGCGCTCTACCTGACAATTGCAGACCAACTTGTGATATCCGAAATTCTGGCAAAACAACTTTCCTCGATATCGTCGCCTCATCTGCCGTGACTTTCTTAGCCGGGTCGTTTTCCTCGTCGCTCCTTCTCAGCAACCTGCCTTCCCACGATCTTTACGAACGCGACACTCGTTTCACCATGTTAAACTCCATCACTAAGCTTCCTGAGGGTGTGGGGGCCAACCCTGAGATCCACAGTCTGGCAATTCGGATCTTGGTGGTGGTGTTTAACTCGGTCGCTCTTTACAATGCCGTTGAGCTCGTGATTCTCATTTTCCTTACGTTCAATCGCTACAGCGGCCTCTACTTTTGGAGTCTTTTACTGTCGGGTGTACTTGGGGTCATTCCCCATGCTGTCGGTCACCTGCTGCAGTTCTTCCGTATTGGGCCCATTGGCCTCGCCATCTCCATTGCCACTATTGGTTTTTATTTCATGGTACCCGGCCAGTCGTTTGTGTTGTACTCGCGACTTCATTTGGTGGTGCAGAATCAGAAACTTCTTCGGCGCGTACTTTACCTTATCATCATTGACTCCATCATCCTGCTGATTCCCACGACCGTTCTCAACTATCTGACCGTCTACGTCGGCACTCTGCCCGTTGTCAAAGGTTACAATGTTGTGGAGCGAATGCAGATTTCCTGGTTCGCAGCCCAGGAAATGTTCATTTCGGGAATCTATATCGTGGAGACCGTCAGGTTGCTTCGGCTGCGGCCGGACAAGGCATCGAACCGGAACAAGATCATGTATGAGTTGATTGCTATCAACCTTGTGATGGTGCTTTTGGACGTGGCTCTTTTGGTCTTGGAGTATCTCGGTCTCTACACACTTCAGGTGACCCTTAAGGCGGCGGTATACAGTGTCAAGCTCAAGCTCGAGTTTGGCGTGCTGAGGAAGCTTGTCTCTCTCGTCCATGCTCCTCAAGTCTCGAGTACCACCGACATCGACGAGTATCCCACCTTTGTCGACCCGTCTCAAATCACTGGCGATGTTACACACGCGGCGCCGGTCAATCGACGGTCCTCTTCACGCCGATGGGATGCAATCTCCCTCGACAGCCTTGTTCGATCCGAGCGGAACAGTCGACACTTTGAACATACCGAACCTCCATGACACTGCACATGATACTACCAACCATTTGGAAATACGCACTAAACGTGTCTCAACCTTCTAACCAGGGTAGGACGGGTCCTCTTCCGGTATCCAGATTCTGGATTATTGGTATCGACCGCAGCCTGCAATCACTACTGGCGCTCCTCCAGACTGAGATTTCAAGCGGTCGCCTGCCTCGGGCCGACACCATCGGTATGAAGCTTTGCCGTCGGTCTTGGCCATCGAGCTTGGGCCCTCGAGCTTGGCGGCATGTACGGTTTCGGCAAGTACAGGCCTGTACACCTCCAGCAACACTTCCTCACCCTGTACCATCTATTGTACTGTCCTCAGCACTGTCTGTGAAAAGACTTTTGACACGACTCGAAAAGCGTGCCCTTGGCACATCATGTACATTGCATCGGAGATGTACCTTACTCCTGTATATTTGACCAACTTTGTAGATATGAGTCTAATATGAGTATATGAGTCTTATATTCATAATCCATGAAGATTGTCATGTTATTTCCTACAGTCACCTACGGTAGAGCGGCGATTCATCAGTGCAAAACGCCACACCGGTGGCCACTCCGTAGCCACCACATCTACAACACCCTGTTAGTGACTAGACAAACCCTACGACCAACTCTACATCAACCATGCAGCAAGTCTACACCCACGAAGGACCCTACGAGTCAATCCCCCTGACGGCACCGCCAGGCCTCCAGTTCCTCAGACACTTCCTCCCAGCCCTGGACTCCCTCGATCCAAACGCAAACCCCGTCTCCCCCTTCATCCACCCGGACGCCCGAGTCTTCGTCGGCAGCGGGCCCCCCAACAGAGGCACAGACGTCGTCGGCCTCCTAAACGTCCGCCAGCGACATATCCAGCACTTCCACCACGAGGTACACAAGGCGTGGGATATTGCACGGACGGATACGGGGAACGGTCGCGGTCCCCGAACGGTGATGTTCGAGGCGACGAGCGGTACCGTCTTCCGTAATGACCCGGATGAGTTCGAGGTGCGGGTGAGGGAGTTTAACATCCTCGAGCTGGAGAGGGCAGGCTCTCAGTCCGACGGCGATGACGAGGGTAAGGGTGGTTTTGTCGCGGTCGAGATGCGGACGTACATGGATGCTCGGCCTGTGCAGGATCAGGCGGCGCGGTTGCAGCGCGAGTCGGCGTATGGGGAGGCGAAGTCGACGGGGTGATTTGGTGTTCAGTATTCCATATACTATGAGTAGTGGCTGGGAGACTGTGTCTTAGCAATGATGGTACCTTCAATATTTGGCGCTGTGCTTATCAATCCCAGGTTGCCAGTGTTTTGTAGCCGTTAGTACGTCGGAGAAGCTCCGTCGGGAAACATGATGTCATCGACAAGAAAGTTTGCCGCACTGGCGAATCGATGATGTATACTGCTTTTTAGGACGGAGTATCTGCAGGAGGGTGCAGCAGGCAAGTTGAGATGCTGGCCAGCGACGCAGGAACGAGTCATTTGCTGGGTGCGCTGCGCCCCATGAGAGTCAAGGGGTGCCTGAGGCGCTCATCAGACCCCTTTCTTGGCCTCAAGTTTCGCTTGGGGAAAGATTGCAGAGTGCAGACACCTCAGGCATATAACCTTAGGTAGGCTACCGAGGCCTTATTCGTAGCTACCTTACAGAACGACGGAGAATGTAATTGGCGGGTTCTGGGCCTAGGCAAAAGTGGCGCCTCAGGCATTAACCGCAAGAGGAAGGCTTCAGAGCGATCACTTGATAGCCAAGCCCGGCGGGTCGGGAATTTTAGATGAGACGGGGCTGCTAAATCTGGGATCTCTCCACTCTTGACTATCGTACGTACATGGGTCCGGGCAAGTTGGCAACAGAATTCAGCCTCGTACGGAGTACTATGACCTTGATTTTCATGACTGTGGGCTTTCAGTGGTCCATCTGCCGCTGCGAATGTGTACCGACTAAGAAATCGCGTCAGCTTGGTTCGATGGAGGGACTCTGGGGCAGTTGCCCGCAATTCGCAACACATTGAAGCCCTCTTGAAGTTTTCGGTAGCGTCGTACAACATACGTTTCTATCGGCTCTTGTTTGTCTCGGTACGGCTATCTCACCCACCTACTTCGTTAACCGTCGCTAACTGTTTTCTGTCATGTTCAGAGCTCCTTCCACCTGCCCCGCATTCAGCCGGGCTCTGCGACTACGTTTTTTCTTACCTTTTCCAGTGATTTGCACGAATCCGCTCTATCGGCGCTTTCTGGGCTGCCTTTCGAGCCAGCTACTGTGACGAGGTACAGGAACCGACCTGGATTTGTGCCAACCAAACAACCCATTCGCCAAATGATGGTATAGTCACGTCGGCCGCCGCGTTTCGTTTTCCAAGCTGTCGTCCAGCATGGCGTCGAGAGCCAATGCCTCCTCTCCAACGAGGCAGAAGAATGACGAGGACCCCGCCGAAACGACGTCAGGAGCTGTAGGAGAGGAATGCGCCGTGACTCATACACCGAAGTCAGACATGGGGCTTTCCACCGGCTTCGAGAGCGAAGACCGAGTGTATCCGATCCGGTCGGTCATCTCCGTTGATCCCTCAACGGTCTCTCAGTCGCAACAGCAGACGCAGAGTAATTTGAACTCACGCGCCATCGGAGCGCGAGAATGGTCTATCATCGATGCCGAGACCTGGGATAAGATGCGAGCGCAGACGAAAAAAAGTGCAGGTGATTCTGCCGCTACTGAGCCATCTCCGCCAGCACCGGATACTGCAGGTTCATCATCTGAGCCACCCGACCATGGCCGTTCTCACGGCCTCAGTCACGCGCCGGTTCCGGGTTCCGCTCTGACCAAGTCTCAGGATTCAGAAGTCGATCCCGAGCATGGTCTTGTTACTGCCCGATATCGCCATGTAGTGACCGATGGCGGCCATATGGTCATCACTGGAAGAGCCAATGACTCGTATCAAGCATGCGAAGACGAACCGATCCACATCCCTGGTGCGGTGCAGAGTTTTGGGTGTTTGCTTGTGCTGCGGGAGGAAATTGACGGAAAGTTGGCGGTCCGTGTAGCCAGCGAGAATTCTGAGGTCATCCTTGGATACTCACCCAAGTGTCTCTTTGCATTACCGAACTTCTGTGACATTTTGGATGAAGAGCAGACAGATAATCTATTGGATCATCTTGATTTCGTCCGCGATGATGGATATGACCCTTCCGTCGATGGCCCCGAGGTTTTTCTTTTGTCTGTGAAGCTCCCTTCTGGTAAACCTCGGCGATTCTGGTGCGCCGCCCATCTCAGCCCAGCCGGCTCAAATTCGGTCATCTGCGAGTTTGAATTGGAGGACGACCGAATCAATCCCTTGAGTGTTTCCGGTCTAACTACGCCGGTGACACCGACCGATACTCTTGGAGTCGAACCGACGCCAGAGCAACTCGAGCACAGCACAGTCAATATCAGTCAACCCCTGCGAGTGCTACGAAACGCGCGTCGGAGACGAGGCGAGGCCGCTGCAATGGAAGTGTTTAGCATTTTGTCCCAGATCCAAGATCAATTGGGTCGTGCCAAGTCGTTGGATTCCTTGTTAAACACGGCCACTGGTTTGGTGAAAGAATTGACTGGTTTCCATCGTGTTCTGATCTATCAGTTCGATACCGAATGGAACGGAACTGTTGTTGCTGAACTGGTTGATCCCAAAGCGAGCGTCGACTTGTACAAAGGACTCTGCTTTCCGGCCTCTGATATTCCGAAGCAAGCGCGAGACTTGTATCGAATCAACAAAGTCCGCTTGCTCTATGATCGCGATCAGGTCACATCGCGATTGGTCTGTCGGACGCTGGAGGACTTGCGAACGCCTGTAGACATGACGCACTCCTACCTGCGTGCAATGTCGCCCATTCACCTCAAATATCTGGCAAATATGGGGTACGTGCTTCTATGTCAATCAGTATCAGTGGCTTCAACGAGCTATGGGGTCTCATCTCATGTCACACCTACGGGACTCACGGCATGAGAGTCTCCTTTCCGGTTCGAAAAATGTGCCGGTTGATTGGCGACACTGTGTCGCGGAATATCGAACGTCTGTCTTACGCATCACGGCTCCAAGCCCGCAAATTAATCAATACCGTCCCAACCGACCAAAATCCCTCGGGATACATCATCGCCACTTCGGACGATCTGCTCAAACTGTTTGACGCCGACTATGGTGCTCTCTCAATCCGTGATGAGACGAAACTTCTGGGAAAGATGACGCACTCACAGGAAATCTTGGCTTTACTGGAATACCTCAGGATGCGACGGATGAATTCTGTGGTTGCTTCACATCACATCACCAAAGACTTCCCTGATCTCTTTTATCCTCCTGGGTTCAAGCACATCTCCGGCATGCTCTATGTGCCTTTGTCGCCCGGCGGCACCGATTTCATGGTCTTCTTCCGTAGGGGACACCTTACGGAAATCAAATGGGCGGGCAACCCATATGACAAGAAACCTCAAAATGGCCATTTGGAACCGCGCAAGAGTTTTCAAACCTGGCGAGAAACAGTCCTAGATCAGTCTCGAGAATGGACCGAGTCCGATGTCGAGACGGCAGCTGTGTTGTGTCTCGTTTATGGCAAGTTCATTAAAGTGTGGCGACAAAAGGAAGCCGCAATGGAGAACTCGCAATTGACGCGGCTCCTCCTCGCAAACTCGGCCCATGAAGTTCGCACGCCATTGAATGCTGTCATAAACTATCTGGAAATTGCTTTGGAAGGCTCCTTAGACCCGGAGACCCGCGACAACCTTACGAAGTCCTACTCTGCATCCAAATCTCTGATCTATGTCATCAACGACCTACTGGATCTGACCAACACCGAAAAGGGCCAGAAGCTCATCAAAGACGAAGTATTTGACCTTCCAGCGACTTTCCGAGAAGCCAGCGATATGTTTGAGGGAGAGGCCAAGCGTAAGAAGGTTGATTACAAGGTGGTAGTGCACCCTGGACTTCCCCCAGCGGCCATTGGCGACCAGCGTCGAGTTCGTCAGGTGTTCACCAATCTCATTTCCAATGCCGTTCGCCATACAACAGCAGGCAGCGTGACCACGGAGATTTGGCGCTCTTCCGAGCAGGCGCAGCCAGGATGCGTGTTGGTCCAAATGACCGTTTTGGACACGGGATCAGGAATGTCTCAGAGCATCCTTGAGGCTTTGTTCCAAGAACTTGAGCAAGTCTCGACGGATGATGGCAGTTATTGGTTTGACCCGGAAGAGCAGACACACTCTCCCGACTCGTGCGGTCAGGATAAACGTGTACTGGGTTTGGGTCTGGCGTTGGTAGCTCGAATTGTTCGCAACATGGACGGCCAGTTGAGTGTTCGGTCGGAGGAGGGCAAGGGCAGCTGTTTCAAAATCTCACTCAACTTCCCAGTTCCGGACGACGCGGCATCTGGTAAACCAGAAGAGCTATCTGTGCCGGATATCGTGGAACCAGCAGTTCCGATTCGGCCGGAAGAGGAGTTCATGCTCGTCGACAGCAGGTCCACTCGAAGCGGCGGACGGCGGCGTAGTACCGGCAGCAATCACAGCAGGGGCAGTTACAATAGCTCCCGCAGCGGCAGGAGTAACAGGAGTGAAGCCGATCGATTGATTAGTGCCATGCAGGAATCCCCTCTGCTGCAACGAACAACCAGCGAAGGATCTGAGCAGAGAGGTCCCAGACCAGCGGGACGCACCCAGGGCAGCGCGGACAACAGACATGCAACGTCTACCCAATCTCTTCCAAACTTAAAGGACAAATCGAGTCCGCAACAATGGCCGGTGACACAAGCTCGCCCCTTTCCGAGCACGGCACGCACGATGACGCCTCTGGTCTCCCCGCCTTTGCCTGGCCACGAACCCGTTACCGACTCTGGAGTCCCAATGACAGCGATACGAATTCCCCCAGAGGACGTGGAGCGGCCACCTTCACCCCCGGCTAAAGCTTTGCTAAGCCAACCTGGGACCTCGGCAGACTTGCCAAGCGAGGCTGAACCACCCTCAGCACCTGCCCCCAACGCTGAACCGACTACTCTGCGCGTTCTCGTTGCCGAGGACGACCCTGTTAACAGCAAGATCGTGCAGAAACGACTAAGTAAATCGGGGCACGCTGTCATCCTCACAGGAAATGGCGAAGAATGTGCGACTGCGTTTCGCCGTGATTCTGCAGAGGTCGACGTTGTCCTGATGGATATCCAGGTAATTAACTTCATTTCCTCAGTGAGGTGTTCAGGCCATGCTAACCCAGTTAGATGCCAATTGTCGACGGTATAGGGTCTACCAGGATGATCCGCCAGTTCGAGCGAGAATTTCAACTCCCGCTGACTGACAGAGCGAGCAAGAATGGCCGCGTACCCGTCTTCGCGGTCTCAGCATCGCTCCTCGAAAAAGACGCACAAGTGTACATTGAAGCTGGCTTTGACGGGTGGATCATGAAACCTATCAACTTCAACCGGTTGGCTGTTCTCTTTGACGGTCTTCAGAACCATGACATCCGCAATGCAGCCACTTACCGACCCGGGCACTGGGAGTTGGGAGGCTGGTTCAAACGCCATGGGGAGCTCTGAACTTCAACAATATTTTTCCCCTGCCCCTATATCATCTCATCACATCACCATCGACACCTTACCTCAGCAACTCGTTGCGACGTGTCTCATTTGTGGAATTGTCAGTTGTCGTCATCAATCATGAGCGCAGGTGCTGTGGGTTTGTTTTTACAAGGTATTCAGGAGCTCGTGGAATATTTCCATCTTCTCTGGACACTTTTTTATCGTTTTTGTCATTTTGAATGGTTTTGTCTCACATATCACCAGCTGATGAATACCTCCATATCATGTGTCTGAGGGTGAGCCTAAGGCACGGATACCTGTAGTCGCTCGGTGTCGAGTATGTGAAGCTAACCTTCTGGCTCAAGTGTTAATCTCGAACCTAGAGACAGATTGACAAACTATACACTGCGAATAAATACTCTGGCTCAGAAGACAGATCGTAATATTAAATCCGGCTCAGAATGGTTGGTTGTGTTGACAGTTGGGGAGGAAATGAACAGAAGTTCGAGGGGGTGGTCTGTGCTGAAGCTGCTGATCAACTTCCTCATTATCGTTCAATTCGTCATTGCAGCCTGTCAAGCCTCCACTCTAAACACACCCAGACATTTTTCCTCATCCATCACCCTCTACCTTGGAACTCGAGGTCTCCTCCCTCTGTCTGACGCAGAATGACTTTGCGGTAGTATCCTACGATTTTTACCGATACTGCTCCCTCCTTTCGATTTAGGAACCGCCAGTCATGGTGTCCCTGTGGCCCTGGAAGGTAAGTTATCCGTGTCTCCTCCCTGAATGCGCGTGACAGAGCACTGACGACTATTGCACGATTGTAGGGCGAAGACAATTCTCCAGCGTCTTTCGAAAAAGCCCTCTCAGCCCTCTCCACAAAGATAACACAGACAACGAGCCGACTTGACCTTCACCGCCAGCATGCCCGTCGATTTAAGGCTCTCTGGACTCTTTACACCACTTTCGCATACCTCCTCTACTCGATTATCCTAGCACTCGTTCTCGGTTGGCAGAATTGGGGTGTGACGGAATACGCTGCCATCATTGGGGGTCCACTTCTGTACGGAAATGTCCCACGAGAACCTCGAGCCCTGGTATGACGTCTGACTTGAGCAGGATCTACGCCGTCCGAGCCGTAGCTAGCAAATTCTTCGACTACCGCATCAGCAAGACCCAGCGACACCTCGACGATCTCCAGAAACAGCGGGAGGAGACAATCGAGAAGCTCAAGGTCGCAACGAAATACAACTCGACTCAACAGCTGCTGGAAAAGTATGGCGGGGAGTCACCCAAGCCGTCGCGTCCCAAGGGCGCCGACGAGAAACGCAAGACAGACGCCAAACGCAAGCAGCCTACTACCCCACAACAACCCGTCATGAGAACCGGACTTCCTCCCCCACCGACTGCCAACATTCGAAGACCAACTCCAGCTCAATCGCCAGTATCTTCTCCCGGCCAGCCTCAGTCTCCGCCACCATACCCGATCCAAGAACAGCCACAACCGCAGAACCTCCATCCGCCGCCTCCTCCTGCACTCGACGAGCCCGGCTTTGCGCCCAACGCGTTTCCAAGCGCTCCGCAGTATGTCGAGCACTCTCACTGGTACGACCGGTTGCTAGATGTCCTACTCGGCGAGGACGAGACACAACCAAAGAACCGGATAGCGTTGATCTGCGCCACCTGCCGACTTGTCAACGGGCAAGCCCCGCCGGGCGTCAAGACGCTGGAAGAGCTCGGCCGCTGGCGGTGTGGAAGCTGCGGGGCATGGAATGGGGAGGAGAGCGAGGCGAAGAAGATGCTCGCGGGGATGCGGAATCAGGCGCGATCTGCGGACGGAGCGTGGGAATCGGTCGCGAAGCCGGACTCGGATTCGCACTCGGCAGGTGACGCGACGGACGAGGCGGTTATGGTCGCCACGAGCGAGGATGAGCAGGTTGAAGCACGGAGTTCAGGGGAGGAGTCGCAGGATGAAGCTGATCAGCAGCCACAGAAGCAGGAGCAGGAGACCCCGGAGGCCAGTGGCGGCAAGTCAGGCCGCGGACGGCGAAAGGGGGCCAGGAAAGCATGAGCGGGTGATTTGTATTTTTCAGCTATATTTATACCTACGGTCACTATAGCACAGGGAATCTCTTGGGCGTCACATCGTCAAATGGCATTCACTCATTATGGTGTATACATGTCAGAATCTCCGCAGAAACACGGAGTACTGGTACTTTCAGCTCGTGTTTAATGGTGTAGAACCATCATCCCGTGTCAGGAATTTAATCGCCTCAACCGCAGCGGTCACCTCCGCCTCTTCAGCCGTCAAGCACCCCGTCACAACAAACAGCTCCGCCTCCTCAATCCGAACCGAGCACTGATAGCTCGCACCTCCCTCCTCGTTCGGAACCCGCTGCGACACAAACTGGATATTCGTCCTAGCTAACTGCTGCGCCACGCTCCTCGGGTGCCTAACGTCAATCCCATGGTCCAGTATCCGACGCAGGTAGGCCATCAGCCCGATCCGCTCGACGAAGACATCACAGGGCGCAAGGTCGCCCCCTGAGTCGACAAAAATGGCGCCGAGGACGCTCTCGACGATATCCGAGAAGAACTTGTCCGGGCTGAGCCGGGAGAGAGCGTGCCAGGGGTAATGCGGGGCATGCTGCAGGGACGACGCGATCTCGTCTCGGAGGGCGCGGTGGCGGGCGAGCGAGGCGTTGCGGGCCGTGTTGAGGTCTTGACCGCGGTAGCGCATAAAGCGCCAGAGCTCGACGGATTCCTGGGAGGAAGTCACGGCGAAAGAGTCCTTGGATGTCTGTGCGACGTCGAGTTTCTCTTCGGAGATGGCGAACTCCATGCAGAGGAAGGCGAGGAGGTTCGCGTTCACTACGGCGTGCTTGATCTTGGTCATGTCGCCTTGCGGGCGTTGGATGGGGTGGTTGAAGATCGCGGAGACGATGACCATGTCGAGGACTGCGTCGCCGAGGTATTCGAGGCGCTGGTAGGACTGGGTTGTCGAGTCGTAGTCGCAGGAGGGGTGGGTGAGGGCCTCGACGAGGAGGGACTCGTCCTCGAATGTGTAGCCGATGTGGTCTTTCAGTCGATCGTTCATCATATGCCGGGCGCTTTCGGGAGCCACACTCCGGGTTGCGGTTCGAGTGTCCACCGCGTGGAGGTTAATCTCGGGCAAGAGTCGGCGGATGCATGCCTGTGCGGTTGCGTGGCCGCCGTCCATGTATGCGGCTCCGATCAGCGCCTCTACCACGTCCGCCAGCACTTTCGTCGACATCTGGCGCTTGGCCGGCACACGCTCCAGCTTTTCCGAGATCAGCGGAGCGGACCATTTTCGCGACGCAAACTTCTTGGTGACGATGTAGGCGTCCAGGCCGGTGTCCAGCGCGGCTTTGGCAAGGCGAGGATTCTGCACGATCATGGCCCGCGCCTCGGATAGATACCCTTCGTGCCAGTTCGGGTGCTTAAAGAACAACTGGCAGGAAACAGAGAATTTGAGGATCGAGTCGCCTAGGAACTCGTACCGCTGGTAATTGGTCAATGCGTGAGCGTGAGGGGTACTGATTGCGGTAATGATGTGTTCAGTGCTCGTGAAACCGACATCTCTGAGGATCGTTTCTCTGAGTCTGGTTGCGATCAGTTCAATCTCCAATCGCTCTACAATGGCGGACATGAACAGGCCGAATATAGCCATTGTGAATGGAAGCCTATCGATGGTGCACGAATCCGCAGCGACAATGCAGCTCTTGGCTGCAGACTCGGGGGTTTCTTCATCGACATCCACCTGGCTATTAGCCAGCGTCTGCCGATGCAGAAGATTGCGTCTACGCGGAAAGGGTGCACATTCCAACTCAACGACCGGAGATGACGGGTTCTGGTCGGAGACAAGCCATTTCCGGAACAAAAATGGTTCTCCGTAACGCGAATGATCCCGAACCACGCCCATGAGCAGTGGGTTGTGGCCACGCGAGTAGACTTCCATGGCCGGGTCACATCCATCATATGCATTCAGCCACCCCTTCAGCTCTGTATGATGCAGATCGGGCGCGAACAGCGCCGTGAAATCTCGCTCGGAGTTGCATAGCCGAGAGCTGGTGGCCTCGAGATACAGTGCTGTGATCGCCCTCATGTCTTCGACACTGCTCAAGGGCACGAGTGGTACCCGCTCTGCTGCTTCAAAGGTCACAGTAAATGTGGTCGAATCGTTCCAAAACAGAGTCATCGGCGCGAGGGGCGGCAAGGACGTAGGTCCCATCAACCGCATACACAGCTCATCGCCTCGCCCTTCATTCATTCCCACAACGATCCGACTTTGATGGATATCGGGCGACGACCATGAGTAGGCCCATTCAATCCATGGATCATATTGTTCTGGCGTCTCCAATATCGAGGGCATAGCTCCCAAGTCATGCGACTTTAGTTCTGGCTTTTTCGTCAACGGCAGAAGGTGGTCGTTGATGAGGCCAAACTCGTACAGAGCTTTATATGCCTGGAAGGCAGTCTCTTTCATCGCTGCTCTCTCTGTGTGCCACCATCTTCTACCCTCAGTGCGCCGGACCTTCGGGTGCACGCAACTGGGCAGGATTACCGTCCCCTTTAGAAGCCCATCCTCGTTCGTTTCGAACGAGAACACGGGCCGCATGTCCACGTAAGGCTGAGAAGGCAATACGGCGCAGAAGTGGTGCAGGTGTGCCATGGCCATGTCAGCTGTGAGGACGGCGCTGATGATAAAAGGTCAGTACTGGGAAGATTCAAGGAATTTGGGAAGTGAAAGTAATCGTACCTCGTAGACTCAACTGTAAGTCGCTCCATAACTTCCTCATCCAGACTCTCCAATGCAGAGGCGCTTTGCAGCTGTCGCTCGTCATCCTGATAGGCCTCTATCATGGCCTGTTCGAGATCTTGCCACTTGGAAACATCAGCAGACGCACCGTCAGTTGGGAACATGATCGCAAAGGTCGACTGCTTCCGCCTCGCCCGTCCACGGCGCTGGACGAAGGACTTGAGGTTGGGTGGTTTGTCATAGCACACGACGACGCTACAGGCACTAATGTCAATACCTTCTTCGAGAACGTCTGTGGCTATGATGAGGTTCTTGCGGCCGCTGCGGAAATCGTCCAGTGTATCGCGCTGTAACTGCATGTCCAGCAGATCGCCGAGAACGTCCTTGCCGGCACTACCGTTGGACCAGCCAACGTAGGCAGCACATCTGAACCGTTCGCGCGTGGAAGGATGCACTGAAAGAAGGCTAGTCATTGCGCTGACTGTTGCCCTCTGTTTGACAAAGATCAGCCCCGAGAACTCCGGCTCATCCAATGAGTCCAGGAAGTTGAGGAGAGATTCAAACTTCGGGGAGATGCGAAAACTATCCGGATCGTTCAACGCAAGCTGAATCTCCGAAGCAGGGATTTTCGAGAGGAAGTCTACTAAGTACGCTTTCTCGGCTTCGTCCCAGTCGCCGCTCATATACGAGTCGCGGACGCGATCTCTGAGCTGCTTGATGGACGCGTAGATGTAGTACTCGGCAGCCCATTCTCCGAGTTCCTCGAAGATATGGCGACTTCGATCGACGAACCTTCTCAACTGCTCCCGACAATACGTTTTGCCCGTCAAGAGCGCTTTTTGCAGAGCTTTCTCGTCAAGGGGACTTTTTCTGAGCCGCTGTATATAGGGGTCATCCTCGATATCCAAGGTTTCCCAGGCGTGGTAAAGTGCCCCAAAGTCTGACTTGCGCCCTTGAACCCCGTAGGATCAGTTGGCGAGTACCAAATCTGCTGCAAGTGCGGTCTATGGGTGAACTTTAGGAGTTCTTGTCGGTGCACGCGTGGTGTTCTGCATACCGCATCAAGGTTGGATTCGACCGTCCTGGATGGCAAGTCAGCAAGGTTAAGCAGAGACATCGTGAAAGCTTAGCGTACTGACAGGAGCTCCTGGTGATTGGATCTGACCACCGGACTGGCTGTTAGGCCCATAATACGAGGGACAGCAACGGGGCCAGATTTCGTTAAAGTCGGATGATAGAAGTCCCGCATGATCTTGTTTGCGGCATGCCTTCGCGTGCAGTGGTGCGCTACAGTTCGTCTCTATCAACGTCCTTCTTTCATTGAGTAGAGCGCAGAATGTAGACGTACCTTCATCGAAGATGAGCAGAGCCAACCGAGACATTTTCACGAAGCCGTGGCTAAGGGCATCCGCAAGGACCGCGTGCGTCGATACGATGACTCGGTAACCATTCAGGACGGCGTCCCAGATGGACTGCTCGGTCCATAATTCGACTTTGTCGAGCCCAGTGAGTGTCCGCGTTCTCGCTGCTGGTAAATTGGACGCGATCACTTCATGCTGTTGTATACACAGGGCGACCGTCGGGGCCAAGAACCAGACGAGCTGGAGAGGGCATGATCAGCACAGTTTGAAGTGGAAAATGCCCGTGCTTAGAATCAATGAGAATATACCTTGTCCGGAGGGCAAATATCCAGCTCTGCTTTGATTCGTAGTACTGCTCTACAGTTGACTGTCAAAATAAGGGCCGGTACCGCACTGAGGGGAAGGAGCAATAACAGCCGGGCAAGGACCGCACAGACAGACATACATATGCGTTTTGCCGCTCCCTGTATCCATCTAAAGGGTCGTTATCATTGCCATACTGAAGCTTAAAGTAGGGAATGAGGGAACATACTGCCACAATAATATTCTCTTTCATGCTAGCCTCCAGCATCTCAAGCTGATAATTCCGTGGCTGGTATGGAGAGGCATCTTGGCATGCAGTAACGGTGGAGGTCATCGTGAAGAGTCGTGACAACCTAGGTAAGGCAGACCAGCAGAGAAAAGTCCTCACTTTCCTGCCATTTGCAGGAAATCACAAATGAATCTGAGATGGTCCTGAAGGCATGGCGGCTCAACGAATGCTGTTTGATCTAAACGCCGAGTTGAGGGGGAAACAGAGAGAGTATGGTGGGGTTGATGAGCGGACACCAGATAATGCAGCTCTGCAGCCTTGTTGCTAATGTTATCAGAGTATTAAAATATCATAGACGCAGCGAGTGAGAGTTCGTTCACTACCTTATCAGACAACAGCAAGATCTCAATTATCAAGTCCGCTGGGCCAGTGAGAGACATTCTCGTCATGATTACAATCAATTAAAAGGGGCATGTATACACTCCGTATCTAGGTAGCATCCGCAAGTCACAAGACAATAACCCGACATGATAAATGTACCACCACAGGAAGCCTCCGGCCCTTCCCCAGAAGAACTGGACAGGAGAAGCCAATTACATCAAATCACCATATTTCCTTGCGCAGGAAACGCCTCTTGACTTCCGAAATGTGTACCTTGTCCGCCGATATCGGCAAAGGAGAGGCGGGATCCAGTGATAGGAAAAAAAGCAACGAGCATAAAAAAGTACTGAGAGACATGCATTATAGAACCAGCTGGAAACACGAAATCATACAGACAACATCAACGTCCCAACCCCTCCGGTTCCAGTCTAAAGCAAGAACACAGAACACCGCCTCAAACATGGCCAGAAATACTATAGATCCACTAGAATCGCGCCATACACCGGAGACAACCAAGGCAAAACATCGCAGAACTGGCTTTCAAGCAGAGAAACACGGAGGCTTTTGGCCAGCAATAGAAGAGACCAATGATATTGCAGGAGAACAAGGAAGATGTTAACAAGAGGGAATTGAGAACGACCTATGATATGAGCGGGAGCCCATGCGCTTGTTCCTGCTTGGGCAGTTCGGAAGCTTCGGCTTGTGCTTCGTCAGGACGGACGCGCCTTGCCTGTGCCTGAAAGTTGTTGCCGAGATAATTTGCCTCTTCGGTAGGAGGTTTGCGCATACCAAGCCCGGCAACAGCTATGCGGTTCAAGGAGTTCATATCGTCATTCGAGGTGGGGCTTGAGCGTGAGGAGGTTGGTGTTGCTGGGTGCAGTCGGGGGAGGGGCAGCAGTGGATGTGGTCGTCCCCGAGTTTGGAATAGGAGGCACAGGGATTTCACTCCGCGGTTGACTCAGGTCGATGTTGCCAGGCAGCTCCGGAACCTCGCCTTGAGAATCCAACAAGCGAGACTGCAGGTTGATGATGTACTCCCGGAGCTGGTAGTTTTCTGCCTGCAGAGCTTTGATCGCTTCTCCCATGTTCTCGTATGCCTTCACCTTGCCTTCCAACTCCCGGATATGCGCTTCCTTCCGCTGGCGAAACGCCCGCTACGCGCAAGTTAGTCAAAATCTTGTAAACAGCTCTTAGGAGCGCACGTACCTGCGCGGCACGGTTCTGCGCGGCGCGTTTCGAGGTGGATAACGGCCGTTTCCCGTAGGTTTTCGAGGTCTCCTGGCCAGTTACATCAGGCTGGGTGGGAGTTTGCGGTGGGCCGGTCAGCATGGTAGCGCCTGAAATGGCAGGATCGATGTTATTCTGATCGCGAGCCGGCGTATTGGGCTGCATGTGCGGAGGTTGCGGCGCAGGAGGCTGGGGTCGAGCTTGCTGAGGATGCGTCAGATGCTGATGTTGAGCAGCTAGAAGCTGATCATGGAGCACTAGAGATATGATGTTAGCTGTCGTAATGCGACGAGGGATAAAAAGCGCCGGCGGGTGGAATGGATGGCATGCGTAGGAACGCTCCCGTTGTGCTGTATTCTCAACTGGTGCAATATGGAGAGGCACTTACCCTGATCCGCATGGTCCTACAACGTCAACAGCATTAGCATCAGGCTTCAGTGAATGAACAGAAGAAGTGGTTGAAAGCGAGCTGTCGATGCGACCGGCAGAAGACTCGAAAATCCATGACGGAAGCAGGTGAGGCAGATCGCCATCGCGTCTTAGAGACCCGAGACCCGAGGAAATCACGGCGACGACGATGAAGGACGGATATCAAGTCCCACCGGATGACATAGCAGCTGAGGGGATTTGCGATCTGGGGAAATTGGGGAAGACGATCCGATGACAAACCGCGACAAGAAGCTGCTTACCTGAGCAGAAGTTTGCATGCTTGGATGCGGTGCTGGTGCTAGTGCTGGCTGCATTGAGAGTATGGGAATGGACAAGACAACAAAGACGCGCCCAACGAAAACACACAGGACGCAATCAATTCGAGCTAGTTCAAGAGAAGGGCAAAAGAAGCAGATCTGCCTATACGGCACAGTCACTCGTCACGCAAGATGGAGTTGGATGATGAGGAAGAATGGGCGAGAGAAGCTGATGAGGTAAGCAGATGGGTGTCGGGAGATCGGTCTTTTGCTGTGGAAGCAAACAGATAAATCAGCCTGATTGGTGAGTTTTGATGACTTGCAACTTCGCAGAAGGGTGGGAAAATGATCTCGTAAGCACGAAAGGAGGGAAGGAAAGAGATTACTTAAAGCAAAAAAGTGACGTGGGACGCCTGGCGTGGCTGGAGTCGCTGGACGGGTCGGCACTTCCGGCGATCGAACGCGTATTACTAAGCTATGCTTCTGTATGAGTAATCCTGTTCATCTGCATTACTAGAATGGAGGCAGATAGATAGCAGAGTCTTTCGAAATCTGTTTACAAAGGTGTGTATTTTTCGATTGTACAGAGTTACTATGTACGCACTATTTCTTGCAACCTCTTTCCTTAACACCTTGGCTCATCGTGCTGACCTTGCCCCAACCTGTGAAGTAAGGTAAGGTAGGTAGCATGGATGGCGGGTGGATCGTGGTAATATTACAGTAAGAATCCTGTAAGGCGGGATCCGCTGACTCATGGCGGCGCTTGGCCAATTCCGCATACTCCCTCAGCAGCTGAATTTTGAAGTAGAGTGGTAGCCGATATTATGTATGTTTTTATTCGCATAATAATGGAATCTCCGAGATACTAAGGGGAAATCTTATCCTTTCATACCTTGTATCTTGCGCCATTTCTCCTAGAGCATGGGGCTCGGAATTGGCCGTAGGAGTTGCATATCAGGTGAATGTACGACACCCTTTAAGGGAAACTTAACTCCAGCAACCAAAGCTACGGCAAAAAGCGTTTCGAATAGTTGCTTAACTGCTAGACTGCCGTATTCACAGTTGACTGTACCAGTGCCACCATAGCCCTTGAGCATCATCATCATAAAGATGCTTTCATTAAGTAGGACGATCCAGCCCGGGATACCCTCATCAAACTGAGCAAGTACCTTGATTCTTGAAGGATATGGTCCTTCCAGGTTTTTCCCTGATCCATAAATAGTGGAATGGTGTTGTTCGCTTTGGTGGCTTTCCGTCACAATTGGCATTGCAAGGAAGTCCTCATGGCTGATAGTGGATTTTCCGAGTATGTCCCAGACCCTTGGCTGGGAAGGCCCAATTTTCTCCTGTGGTGAGTTGATAACTGGACATCTATGATTCTAGAATATGCAATTGGGCCGCACTCTTTGCACGCTGGATCGTTCAGTGGATTGTGAAAGGATGCTTGAGTGTCTCTTTGGAACCCCAAAGCTGATCTACATATATATATATACATATATATGTATATATATGTGTGTGCGCGACACCATAACTCAAGCCTGCTAGGAGAGCTCATCTCATGATCGTGAATATCAACACCCCTTATCATAGATGTTACCCATTGCCAAGTTCGGTCCGGTCCTATTATTGAATCCCAGCCGGATGAGTGTCTTCTCACCCAGCTCATATTGTGGCCATCCATCGTATCGCTCTAGTCCGGAGACAGGATCTCGAGCGAATGCAGCCCATGCACCACGCATGTACCGTCCGATGGCGACTTCCTCAGCCGTAATGGCAATGAGGTTTTGTGCAACCGTGTCGAAGAGCACCGGCACCTCGGAGGAGTGGTATGCTCCGCTAGGCGCCTTCGTTGAGAGCATCATATTTGGGAATACGCCGAAATACCGGTATCTCCAAGTCGGATTGCCCTGCTGAACGGAGATATTGGCTCGTGCAGCTGCCGGACAGTCGAAGAGAGCCTGATTCTGCTGGACCCAGGCGTCGTCAGGTAACGGCTCGTCCACATAGACGCGGAACAGGCCGTTTTCAAAGTCAGTGGTGCCAATGAGCATGGGAACGGCAGCCGCAGGGCGGTCCGTGTAGTTGCTGAAGACGAGGACGTCGTCGGCGGCCGGACTGTAGGGCAGGTTGACGGTCGTGGCCATGGTGTTGACAAGGTGACGAGCTATGTCCCCAGCAGGCTTGGTTATCATGCAGTCGTAGGTCTGTTGATCATTTGTGCTCTGGTTACCGCAGCCGAGAGCCTCCGAAGCGTTGAGCCAGAACATACGGGCCTGCTCAGCGGTGCGGCCTCCAATGCGAGCTACATTACCAGATTGCACAATCAGGGCATGGACGATGGGGTCGTCCTTCCAGGCGTATGAATAGTGGTCAACAGAGGTACCGCCGGCGGACTCTCCGAAGAGAGTGATTCGAGATTGGTCACCGCCAAAGGCAGCGATATTGTCCCTCACCCACTCGACTGCTAAGCGTTGATCCATGAGACCTAGGTTGAAGCTGCTTGGTGAATTTCCGGGGAAACCGAAGAAGCTGAGGCGATAGCTATGACGAACAATTAGCATATGGCTGCAAAAGAAGCGTGGGATGGATGTTTGACTTGATAGAGACAAGGACAATGTCCTCTTGGTCGGCAAAGAACTGGCCATTGTACATTGGAATTGCCGAGCTTCCTAACCCGGGTGAGCAATTGACGCTGTGATTGTTCTAGGACCATATACATACCGGAGACGAAGGACCCTCCATGTATCCAAATCATCACTGCCTTTTTCTTCTCGCTGGTCTGCGGCTTCGTCCAGACATTCAGCGTAAGACAATCTTCACTGAAAGTCAGATTGGGATGTCCTATCTCTGTCAAGAACTTTTCGCCGACTTTGGTGACGCCGTATTGCTCAATGAGCTTGTCTGGCAGTCCGTCGTCGTACGCTGTCAGATTCGAAGAAATGCACGCGGGACCCTGTCATTGTCAGCGCTGTGGTTTCTGCCCTTGAGTGGTAACAAGGCTGTCCCCTACAAAGGTCTCGCCACTAATCGTGGTGTTCCCCCGATACCTGACAGGAGGCTGGAATCGTAGGTTGCCTACTGGCGGCAAGGCGTACGGGATGGCGAGATACTCCGACACATTGCTGGCATGAGGAGCGGCATGTCCCCGGATAGGCCCGCTCGAGGTCTGAACTGTTTGTCCGATGGTCCACCGTGCTTGTGGACTGACGGCGGCGCAATGCACAGAAAAGATTAGCCCGGCTACGATGCTGCCGAAGATGACCGGAAGAGAAGACTTGTACATGGCTGAACTATGCTGGGATCTTTTGAGAAAGGCGTGCTGTGGAACATCTCACAAGCGTACCTCCAGCCGCTCAAATGCGCTTTATATCCCTGCAAGTCCGGCAGTGCTACAGTTTGATTAGCATGCATGATATCCAAGTCGCGGGCAATATACACCGACCTAGCCGGAAGATCGTCTTCACGATCGTATTCGCAACCATGCCGCGATGAACGAACACGAAAAGCCAGGCACCGCCATTTGCTAATTGGCTGCTGATGAAATCTGCCCCAGTATTTGAGAATATCGAGACCGAGCCGGTAGCAATCAAGATTGTTCTCGTCGAAGAGTCCCATCATCCATCGTTGTGTTGCTTTCCCGTGTGCTTCCACCGATTCTCGATCATGGGAACGAGGAGACCAACAGTTGTCCCTCGAAAGGACTAAACAGAAATCCATGCAGGCAACAACGAAATGGAAATATTTTGAAAGAGGCCTAATAAGGACAGTCCAAAATAACATCATCCCTTTCGGCAAATCTAAAATAATATCCAGCCAAACGATTTTTTCCAACCCACACAAAGTGGTGAACGAACACGAACAGCAGGGCTCAGCCCTCTACGTCTAGATAATGGATAGACACAAGAGCAATGCTTAGCTTGCAGGCTCAAACTGGTGTCGATTGTTATGAAAGTGCATCGAAGCCCCGTCAGTGTTGGCATTCTTGGCCTGCATAGGCATGATGAACTTTGTCATCTTGTATCAGGAGAAAGTTCGGGCCCGTCATGGTTATCCAACACACGCCTGTGGTATATATTGATCACTTCTCCGGCCTTGGATGATGAAGACAGCTCTCTTCCGAGCCCTTGCGCAGTTGTGCAATTATGAGAACAGAACAAAGACTCACGGAGATCAGACGATATATTGTGTTCAGCAAGGTCACGAAGGTGATTGGTCGTCTGTCCTTTCCAGCATCGGCGTCCGAAATGAGCCTAGCGCTGCCATACCAGCCAGACTCTTATAGTCTTGTTGCTTTTGCCCTCTCTGGTAGATTCTTATCATCGTGTCTGTCCGTAGGCTCATGAGACTGAAAATCGCAGGATGGAAACCGAGATATGCATCCTGCATTTCAATGATGTCGTACGTCTCCATAGAGTCCTCCATTTATAGAATTTTACTAAACAGCGGTAGTACCACGTCAACGACACCGAGCTCATATCTCGCTTCGCCGGCTTGATCAGGTCCTTCAAACCCAAGCCGCTCGTAATCTTCAGCGGCGATGTCTTCTCACCTTCCTTGGAGGCGTCCGTCCTAAAGGGAGAGCACATGGTTCCATTCTTGAACCACCTCAACGTCGATGTAGCCTGTTACGGGAACCATGGTCGGGGATGTCCATGCCATGAAGGTCCACAAGCAGGCTGACATGTCCCAGACTTTGATTTTGGGGAAACGCGACTCGTAGAACTGTCACGCAAAGTGCACTTTCCCTGGGTCCTATCCAACGCAACTAGACTGACTGAGGACGGCGATGTCCCGAGCGAGCCTCTTGCCTGTGGTGAGCGGTATACCATCAGGACAGTGCAGGGGTACAAGGTCGGATTTATTGGCTTGGCTGGGACGTAAGCAAGGAGCTCTGCACAGTGTGCCTCTGCTTGGATCACTGATTAAGATACCTGCCTAGAGACTGGCCGTCAAACTGCCAAAACTTACCCCCGTTGTACGTCAAGGATCCCGCCATGGTCGCTCAAGAGCTTGCGAGATACCTGCGTCTCAACGAGGGTTGTGACTTTGTGATCGCTCTCTCTCACTCGCGACTCGCGGAGGATATCAGAATAGCAAATAACGCTGCACACGGGATTGCCAAAGTTGATCTGATACTTGGGGGTCACGATCACGAGGTCCTGCATCGCTTCCATGGGGACACAGAAGAGGACTCGGAGATAATCCAACAGGGCACGAGTAATGAGGACATTGTGTCCAATGGCGTAGTCGACCAGGTAGCTGGAGACATTCGCATCGTCAAAAGCGGGACGAACTGGCGAGGCTTATCCATTGTCCGCTTAATCGCAAGGAGACTTCCGGACGGAAGGGCCACAATAGAGACCGTCAAACGTAAGTACCACAGCCGGCAACCCCGCCAATCTAACAAGCTCCAGTCAAGCAATACGTCGACATCACACAGAGCTCAGAATGGAGCCCACTCTCAATCTGCCCCCGTATACGCAAAATGGCAGCCGAGATCCAGCAGCGTGTCGGCAGCGTAGTCCAGAAGCCACTCGTGCACACGAGGACACCGCTCGACGGCCGCTGCAGTGTGATTCGCAGCTCAGAGACGAATCTAGGCAACATGCTCGCAGACGCCTATCGTGCCTACTACGGCGCCGACATTGCACTCGTCAACAGCGGCTCAGTGAGATGTGATCGAATCATCAAGCCATTATCATCACCGCTCTGCGTCAAGGATATCATCGGTTAGTCCCGACACTATCATCAACCGGTAACTCTCTCATGAAGTAATCTAACCCTCTAGAAATCTGCCCCTTCGAGAACCCAGTGGTGGTCAAACGAGTCAGCGGTCACGCCCTCCACGAGGCTCTTGAAAACTCCGTCTCGGACCTCCACGTTGATGGACGATTCATGCAATGCTCTGGGCTACACGTCGTCGCAGACTGGCAGCAACAAGAGGGCCATAGGATCCTACAACTGTCTCTCGTGCAATCGTCCTCCGCACCAGCGAAGCAGATCGTACTGTCGCAGATATACACCGTTGCCATGTCGTCATTTATCGCGGCGGGGTTCGACGGATATACCTGTTTTCAGAGCATAGAGACACTTGTCGACAAGGAGACGGCTGTGACGGATACTGGACTACTCTTGCAGATCTTCGGGTACGATAAGGAAGGTTTGAATGATGGCAATACCACCGATATAGATAGAGCTCGGAGGGCTATCGTTTGTGGGACGCATGGGCTGGACAGTTTGCCCATTGTGAGTCCAATTATTGAGGGGAGGATACGGTTCGTGACTTAGCTCAGAGATAGCATTCGACCTTTTCTTTATCATTCAGGTATAAAACAGAAAGGTAGCCTCAAGACGAAACACCTATTGTTGTTTCCGTGTTGGTCAGACCTTAAATGTCTTTTGCTGTCTCGGTACTATCAACATATTTCCCTTTCCGACTAGGCACACAGGCTCCAGGTATGCTTATCGGCTCTGAAATAGACGCTCTGTGAAAGCTGAACTGCAGTAAGTTGCCGGGTACTCCTGCTTGGGGTATAATCACTTGAGAAACTAGATTTGCGAGCCCAAACTATTGGTGCTTCTTGGTTTCGTGGCTCTTGGCCTTTGTGATGAGGCTCAGACCAACCTCGGCAGATTCATTCCAACCTCTCTGTCTCATCCAGAAGCGCTCGGTTGGATCAGTCCCCTGCTTGGACCAATTTCTAGCGTCCTGTTCCAAGGACTCGCGAGTGATCTCAGAAGGTGGGACGGAAGATACGACACCCTTGACCTCATCGGCATCGTCGTCGCTCTCTGCACTGAGCACAGAGTCGAGGTATCTCTTCCGCATCATGAAGCGCTCTGCCCTTTCACGACGGGTGTTCGGAGGCTCCAGCTTAGCCAGGGCACTTCGCACGGCGTAGCGCACGATCAGGTAGAGATGCTCGGAGAAGAAGATCGTCAGCAACAACGCCCAGCACCGGATTGTCGTCGGCTCGCCGTTAGGGCCCTCATGTCCGTTACTAAACATATAGACAAGGGCTGCGCTGGTGATGCTTCCCACCCAGGACAGGAATCCTAGGCTGTCCAGCCAAGGTCCGATGGTATCCGCACGCTGAGGCCAGGGTCTCTTGCACTCGACGCAGATCTTGAAGAAATCAGAGCGCAGCTCGACCCAGTTGTTGATCAAAAAGGAGACGGGAACAAGTGGCCACACGGGTGAGAACAGAGCCAGATATCCGAACTGGATACACATCTCCCGCAGATCGTCGGTGACATCATAGTCCTCCAGCTCAGCTTCGTTGCGAACGCGAGTGAGGAATTTGGCCTCATCTTCGTCGTCGCCGAGAGAGACGGTCTTCTTTTCTCCCGCACCGTTCCCTGAATCTGCCTTTGCATGCTGTTTCTTGGTATATTCCTTATATTCGCGGAATACCCGTTGCCTGATAAACGGAACGATAGTCTCAAGCGCGAAACCGACAATCTGGGCAGTGACGGTAAAGTAGATGACCTGCTTTCGCAGCCGATCCGGATTAATCGTGAATTCGGTTCGAGCTTTGGTTGCATGCTCTTTGGACACGAATGGCCGAACAGTGAGATGGAATACGTCGAGATAAGGCACGATCCGGCTGGCGAATGGTAGATAGACGAAAGCTGTCAAGATAATAGGGAGGTATGAGGTGATGAAGTTGACCACGAAGATTTTCTGTGTCAGTGCCACCTTGTAGGCATCCTGAGTCTCGTAGTTCTCATAATCATTCAATTTGGTCGCGACAGTCACCAGGACTGCACTCATTGTCGGTACAAGCGCAGATACCAAGATAGTAGGGATGAACACCTGGACCATTAGCTATGAGTTCTGAGAGATGCTTGGAACCACACCAACCAGATAACACTTGAGCGGACCGTTGTAGACCTCGGAAATGAAAATCTCAATCGCAAAGCAGGTGGCAATGATGGCACCTAGGGCGACGGCAGCAAGCAATGCGAATGGAACTTGGAGGAGCTGTCGATACATCCGCTTTGTAGCAGGGAAAACTCCTCGAACCTCGCCGGTGCTTTCGTCACGAACTTCCTTTTCGGGCTTGAACTCTGCCCTCTTCTCGTGAACCGCAGAAACGCCCTTCGTCTGCCACCGACAACTGAGATCCTCCTCCTGACGCTTCCAATATTCAATAAAGACGATGCACCAGAGACAATTGACCACGGTGTAGATGATAGAGAACGAGTCCAATAACAGCCAACACGAGAAGCCGAATGCCGCAGGGAACATCAAGAACCGAAAATACGACTGCAAGAACGCAAAGTAAAAGCCGACCTGAAGCCCCGTTAGCTTACAAGCTCCTATAAACCAACGAGAAGCTCACATGTTCTCCAAACGTGTTGCGAATCTGATCCAGATCCTCCGTTGACAGAAACGTCTTTTTGCTCCACTCCCTCATGCACTGCCTGTTGGTCTCCTCGTCGTGCAGCGGAAAGATCGCATCGACATTCTTCCACTCTCCATGTCGGGGGGTAATGCCTGCACCACCCTCTGCCTTTGGGACCGTAATCAAATGGTAGATAACACGAAGCCGCTCAGCTTCCGACTGCGGTTCCGCAGAGCTCGCCGGCTCGGGTTCGGTATTCCGGACGCCGTACAGCCAGTCTCGAACACTTGAAACCATAAGCAGTTAGCATACAACGTACAGCCTCTAGAAAGCATAGTTCTACGTACCGAGACTGGTAAACCGCGCGTTTCAGCTTCTTCTTGCTAGCAGCTCGCACAAAGACGAAGAGGGAGTTCTCGTCCCCTTGTCGTACTTCCGTCTGCAATCCTACCTCGGAAAGCTCCAGAAGGAGCACCTCGAATCTCTTGATCGCTTGAGGGGTATCTAAAAACAATCAGATCGCGGCCCAGTTGCTACCCCAGGGCGACCTACCAATATCCCCGTAATTGAAGCGGATGACGTAGTCGACATGGTGGTTCTCCTGAACGGCGTTAGGAGCCGGATTGAAAGCCATAGTATAGTACCTTGAACAATTTTTACAATAGCATGAGGGACGGTGAGGTAAGAGACTATAGTTTGTAGAAATATTTTGGCTTGACGCGGAAGGAGAGCGAGCTGGAATTGTCGTCACCGCATAATGCACTCTGACCAGGTTGACTGGCGATGACGACATCCCTGAGCTTGCTGGCCTAGGGTTAGCCCTAACTGCTGCTGAAAGGGACATAGCGTCAACAACGTATTCGATCGATCCATCTCAGAACAGCGCAGAGATGTGATACCTCCACAGTTGGTTATCGACTATCTTCATCAAGTGTGAACCGATTGATCGAAGCGGAAGAAGACGCAAGATGACAAATGATATACACTGGCTCAAAAACACATGATCCAAGGGTATCACGATCGACTATCGAAGGTGTAATCTACCTATATACGAAACACACCAAGCTTCGACAGGACAACACCCGCTACCAAAGCTTCGCAGGTCGAATGAAATCATACCGCCAGCTCATTGAGGCCCCTACAGTCCCTCCGCCAACTTCTTCAGCGCCGGTCCCTCAACCATCATCTTCATCCACTCCTCCATAGCCTGAGCCCCAACCTGCTTGTAAAACTTGATGCTCGGCTCATTCCACTTGAGGACACTCCACTCCAGACGGCGACCCTTGACCTCCAGTACCTTTGCAGCCAGGTACTTCAAAAGCTTGAGTCCGTACCCGTTACCTCGTGCGCTGGGCTGCACGTAGAGATCCTCAAGGTAGATTCCCGGAGCCGAACGCCATGTGGAATAGTTGTAGAAGAACAGGGCCATGCCCACGGGTACCGGAGATGGGTTCTCTGCTGTGGCGGGAGGGATAACGAGGGCTGTGTAGACGGAGCCTCGCTTGGGGGTGTCATTGGGGAAAGAGAGCGTGG